CGTACGGAGTGCACAAATAGCTCAAGTATGAAAGCAATAGCAGCCTGTTTAGCCCTGTTGCGAGTATGGCCAGTACACTGAGACCTTGCGCATTGCCTACTCACGGTTATGTCCCGCGGTCGGTTGCTGTCAATGTCCATCTTCTCCCTCACCTCACCATGACTGTGGTTATTTCCACTATCAAGATTGTAAATCAAGATAGCGATTAAAACAACTTATTATCGGATGCATGGAGGGGTGTTCGTGGTACACTGCTTTCTGGTCCCACATTGACAGAGTAGAGCAGAGGTCCCATCCTCGAATGACGAGTTGGATCATGCGAACGAAGGTGGAAAGATTGGACGTGGCTGCAATATTTCTAGCACCAGGTGCTGTTTTCTTACAAGATGTGAGGAAAGGCCGCAGCCCATCTTAGGCAAATCCAGGAACCCTGCCCAGTCACAGCGGGAGGTTCCCAGCGATAGTCCGATATTTCCCTTGACATAGTCCATGGCGTTGCCAGCTAGAAAGACAATAGCCTTGCTTCTAGGGAGCGGGTGTGCTCTGTCAGGTAAAGTAAATCAATGCAACCCACCCAAGTGTCGGTGTCCATATACTGCAACAGTCGCAATAGCAGCAGTAATTAAGTAGAAAGCCGTCTAATAAACCCTCTCGTTCATTTCATTCCACTCCCAAACAGCCTCTCCTTATAGAAACGCATCTCCTCAATACTTTCCAGAATATCATCTTTCGCCAAATGCACCTCCTTCTTCCTAGGCACAGTCGCCAACAACTCATCCACACCCCATCGTCTCGCGGCCTCCTTAAAGGTGCTCACATCCAAGATTCGATAATGCAACCATTCCAGGACCTTCGCGTAGGGACCCCGCGACAAGAAAGCCTTGTCCGCATGTACGCTATTTCCCGCCAACAGCGCCGTGCGGGGCTGCGGCACATATCGCTGAATGTATGTCAATAGCTCGGAGGCAGCGGACTCAGGTGTAACAGTGGAGGCGAGGACGGCGGCGGTTAATCCCGTACGGCCGTGAGTGTCGATACACCATTGTGACATGTTGTCCATGGTGGTCTTGGAGGCGTGGACGACAGTTTCGAAGCCGTGGGAGTCGAGGAGTTGGAGGTTGGCGTCCGTGATGAAGCAGCAAACCTGGATGATTTGGTCTTTTTCGAAATCCAGGCCTGTCATCTGTTTGTGTGATTGAGGCGTGTATTAGGTATCACATCTATATGGAGGGGGAGAGGGGGGGTGGTAGAGTCGAAGAGAAGGGTGCGTACTTCGCAGTCTATCCACACTAGTGGATCGGATGAGCGTGCCAATGGCATGTTGACGATGTTTGTGTGTAAAGTGTTATAACTTCACGTGAAATCTAAGAACAAATGGATAAGGCCTTTTGGTTCAGAGACCTATGTCCGTCTGCATCTTTCGGGTGAGTGGAAAAAATGGTGGGGGTAAAGACGCTTAGTTTCCCTCTGACGTTGCGGGGGTAAATTATTTAAATTTATTAAATAGTCTCCAGACGATAAGATAAAACGAAACCGCCTCCCCCCACCAAAAAAAAAGAACCTACCGAGTAAGTCAAGGGTTTCTTCAGATTCAATCAATCATATGTTTGCACCTTGCGTAATCCATTTATTCTATAGCAATTAACTTATAGCCCAGACCTTTTCCAAATATCACGTAAAGAATTCTAGATCCTCGTGGGCAAAGCCCTAGGACCATCCTGCATAAGGTAGTGCCAACTCATGCACACAGTCCAGAATAGTCTCCATACCGTCGTTATCATCGTCAAGACGTTAAAAAGAAGTATTGAAAGTCCCAAAGCAGGTAGACAAAGAAAAGAAAAAGAACCAACCAGGTGGCTATCGATTGGTCCACTTACGCCAATCCATCATAGTCAGCAGGATAATCTTTTGAAAGTTTTCCCCAAAATCAAACACAACAACAAAAAGAGAAGAAAACGTTGTTCACATAGTTTGCATGCGTGCCAGCCAAAAACAAATAAATAAAGCTCTGGATATAGATTATCGAAGATTGTCAAGTTAGCGTTCCGACAAGCTCATCAAGGGAACTCTTGATCGAGCACCAATTGAGAGACATACTGAACCCAGTAAGTTCATATAGCTAATAATATGTCATCGAGATAGCTTCTTCACAGCTCTTCATCCTCATTCTCCTGTGGGACTGATTTCTGAGGCTCAGCCCCAAAGGAATTGGAACTCGCCCCTGTAGTTTGAGGCCCCTCGGAAGCGGCACCATCCAAAGCTCCGCTGATGGGTTGAGACAATCCCGATTCGATTCTCCGTCGCAGAGCATTCTCATCCGCTTGGGATACACTGGCTCTTTGTTTCTTCAATGGGCTTCCCACGAACTCTCCGTTTAGATTATTTGCCGCAGGCTTGGGGACCTCGGGTATACCGGCAAGGACTGCTGGTGCAGTTGGAGGGGTGGTTGAGATACTGGATGCTGCAGGGGTCTCTCCTGATGGCTGGGGGCTAGCGGTATCCGTTTTGGGGGTACTAGCGCCCAAAGATGCTGACGAGTGCTGGCGTTTGAGCTGTATTTCCGTTAGCGCAACTTAAGGTAAAAGCCTTGGGTTTCACTTGCCTTGATCTTGCGAACGCCCTCGGCCAGTTCCCCCTGGCGTCTAATATCGTCTGGTGACAGATGCTGATCGTCTTCCTTAGCTTCTTCATCGTCGACTTTACCCAAGATCGAATCATCGTCATCATCGTCACTGTCCATGTCGTCATCTCCAGCGGCCTTGCTTTTCTTTCCCTTCTGCTTGTTCTCAGTGCTGTCACGGAAGTTCAAGAATCCAACTGTACCACCGGGTTTCAAGGGACCAATATTAGCGAAGTCCGGTTGAAGTGATCTGCGCTTTGCGGAGCCAGGAGTTTCTTGCGACTTAGGATCTTTTAACATGCCCATTTTCTGCAATTGCCCTATAGATAGTCAGTATGGTAGATGAGATATCTTGAATAGATGGTGAACTTACGCTCCCCTCTATACATGAACGTAAATATAGCATAGGGCTTGTCGGATGGATCAATCCCAGTAACCGTTTGTGTGCTGATAGTCTTGGGATCGAGGGTCTTGGGCTTTGCGAAACTCGTTGTATGGTCGATATCTGCGTCTGTCCCGCCATTCCCGCCTTGCTGGGCTTCGTCGTCGTCGTCATGGGCATCAAACTGTGGCGAGTATTCACCACGTTTGATTTCCCCTGAGGCCAGGACACGGAACAGAGCCACTTTGATCTGTCCTGCAGACTCTGGAATAGGGTCGTCGTCCGAATCGGAGAAAGACATGTCATCATCCGAAACGTCCTCGAGAGGTGACTTCGCGTCGTTACCATATCGCATGATACCCTTGTCATGCTTGTCTGCCTTAGAATCCATGTCCAGGTCACTGGTGCCATCGACCGACGCACGCTTCAAGCGGCGCTTTTCCATCTTCTGCCGTCTCCGTTCAATCTTGGCGGCCACATCCTTACCCTCTAGATCTAAGCCATTGAGCCAGCGCTCCAACCCCACCTCACGGAAGAGGAACTCCCGTTCAGCAAGGCCACCTCCTTCTGACTCAGGGACGCTGACCCATCGTGAGTTTACCCAGGTTTCCTCTCCTCTCCGGAGCAAAGTAGCGACCTCTTCCTTTTGCCGCCCGTCGAAGTAGATATAGGCTGCAACCGTCTCGTTTGGAGAGTTTGTCAGCGGCTGGTACGGTGCCACCATGCTACTATATTGGCCTCGCTCTGCCGTTTGGCCGGGAAGGCCCCCAACAACCTTAGGCTTAGGTGTGGGGTTTTCCGGTGTCGATTTCGGGGTAGAGTAGGGCACATCTTGTCCAGGATTCAGTAACGTGATTGAAACTGCAAAGGTGGATTGTTCAGGTTTTCCGGTAGCTGAATCTGGTAGCTTCGGTGGAGGTACGGGAATGTAACAAGCTATGCGAGAGGCTCGGGATTGGCGTTGGATCGAGTACTCGGAAATAGGGCCGTCCGGAGTGTGTATACTCACAGCAAGACCCTTAAAGCACGGCATGATGGGGCGAGCGGTAGGGTATATGTGAACAAACTGATGTTCTCCGTGGTATCTTGCAGGGGAGAAAACAGGTCGAACTAAGTATGGTGAGAGTGATCGAAGGAGAGAAGATCGTGCGGCGTGTGCGAAAGAGATAGCTTCCGGGCGTCGTGGGTTGTGGAGGCGGTCAGGGATATCTAGTGTGTTTGGACTGACACCGACAACCTTACAGGGACGGAGCGCAAGAACGCAGTTCAAAGAGGTTGCAACTGGAGAGTGCGGTAGCGTATAACAGGAATACTCGGCACAAGAGCCAGGCAAATTTTAAAAGCAAGTTCCTATAGCTTTATCTTCTTTGTGAGCAATTCACAGGCAATCGTACTAGTAGCTCGGCGGAGGGGGGTGGGAGGGGAAGAAGAATGGCTGGATATGATGGGCCAGTGGGTCAGGATGAGCGTACCAAGTTGAAAATGCACGTAAAGAATGTAGGTACCAGCAACATCGAGTGAGGGTAATGATTCGACTTATGAACAAGATATCTGGTATGCCCGAAGGCCAACTCCCTTGTACAGCGTGACGGTGACAGAGGGTGGAAGGGGGAGAAAGAGAGGAACGAATGAGATGCGGAGGACTGGGCGATCGACGGCCGCCAGTGGGAACTCCTCCGCCTTCGCTGCCTTCCATGGTTTCGGTTCTGCTTAAACTCCCATGCAACATTCCTCTTGCCTTGGCGTAAGAATATACTAGTACGAGTAGTATATTCCAACCACTCGAGTAACGGTGGATTTAGACTTAACTTCTCTTTGTTTTCCTTTGTACGACTTCCTCAATAAAGCCCAGCAGAGTTATGTGGAGTGTCCGCCCACGGGGAACTCTACCAGAGATCTCCTTTCCACAATGCTACAAAGTAGATATACATTGGCCCCATTTCGCCGCTTTAGGAATTGCAGAGGTTTGTACAACTCACGGCTCGCTTTGTTGGATGACTATATATAGAACACTATCATCACATCATTTCTATTTGTCTAGTGGATAGAATAAAAGTATCGCATGAATCTCACAACATTTGATATCCCAAATGGTTAAGAGAAGAAGGAAAAAAAAAAAAGAAAAAGAATTACATGGACCAACACCACCCGTACCTATTGTGTTAACATAAGGAAACAAAACAGGGTGGTCTCTCTCATAACCCACGCCGTCGCGCCTCTTCCATAGCTATATCTGCCAAGTCAGGAAAATCCCGGTTCAAGCCATTGAAAAGCAATTCGGCCTTCTGTCGCCTTTTCCTCTCAATTTGAGCTTCTAAGCTTGAAATCTTGTCAAGGACTTTAGCATGCGAATCGATTAGTGACAGCTCAAGCAGGCCGTCGGCATATTGGCGCAGAGAGCTTAGCTTCTTCTCAAGAGAGAGGATGTTTTCCTCATCAATGGGATTCAGAATACTTTCATTGTGATTTTTGGGCTCATGAGGATATCGGTATGCAGTATTATCTGGCGTGGAAGAGAGTCGGATATGATCTTGTATATGTGGACTGCGATGAAAACTTTTGTCCGGGGAGCTTCTGTCCTCCACGAGATCACTGATGCGGAGCTGCCCTTTTGAATTGAAAGACCCTGTCGAACTACCGCGCATGGGAAGGCTGTGGGGAACATCGACATCTGTAACGATATCCGACCTCCTAACCTGAGAGGGTTCAACACTCTCAGAGGAGTGTACAGCTTCGTGTAGCGACCTTCCGTGACCATCATTGTTTGGCGTCCTAGGTCGTTTCTGACCCCGAGGCTCCAAAGTACTCTGTGGTGATGCTCTTTGTGTAATAGTGACAGCTCTCTTGCCTCTCTTTTGGTCAAATACGTTGTCCACGAAGCCGGCGATGCGACCTCGTGGATCAACAGGTTTAATCCGAACTCGGATGGGCTTATCCTTGCTCTGGTAAGGGCGAGAGAAATGGCAACAACGGCAATTACATATTTGCGAGCATTTCGGGCAAACCCACGGGATCTCATTCCTGAGGAACCCAAGGAGATTAATATCAAAGTGCCTGTATAGACCACGATAGCAGAAGAAAGCCGAGCATTGGGAGCATGTGGTTCCCTTCCAGACAGGGTGACTGTCACGGCAGAGATGACAGAGACGTTCCTAGGCATCGTCAGCCTGTAAAATTATAAATTTATCGCAAAGACTAATTGAAACCACCATATAAACTTACTGAGGATTGTCGTCGCGCCTCCACTGCCACCAGAGCTATGGCACCTAAAGTCTTTTGTCTAATTTATAGGTTAGCGATGATATTCGTTTTAACCCAGCGAAATTGGAACTGGAGCAAACTGTCACACAAACAAGCTAAGGCATGCTGGTTTAACAGTGATTTAGGGTGTCATACTTCGGTCGTCCTATGTCTGAGGCGGAATAGCTGCCTAATCTATCTCGAGCTGTTTTGATAAGACTTCGGCAATATTCGCTCCGGAATAGCTCAGCCCAAGTATAGTCACCAACATGCTTGCAACTCCTTCCGGATACGTAACAGGTTAAACAGAGGTCAAAATCTCCACACTGTTCGCAATGTAAGTGTCGGTTCCAGATCGTTAATCCGCAAAAGTTACATTCCACCACAGCTCCTTGTGTATCCACAAGTTTAATAGGCACAGATGAGTCGCACCCAGTATCCTCGTCGTCGACTAGCTGCTGAAGCATATCTACAAGCAGTTTCGTCTCTTCTGGGTTGTGGCTGCTGTCGCGTAGTGCATGTATTGGTATCAAGGGAACTCTGCCTGTATCTGCATGGCATTGCTTTTGATATACAGGCTGAATATAATTAAAAAATGATGGAATTGAGGATGCATGCATGATGTTCCAAACCACCTTCGTCACCATGGAGCTCACATTCCATATTTGATGAGCAGTTGCCGAAGGAAATATGACCAAGTCCCCAGGCTCTTGATGAGTGACATATATTGGAAAATTTGCAGTCTTCATTTGCGCAATGGAGATATTGGCCCAATCAGTGTGGGACGACTTTCCAAGTCCTTCCATAAACAAGTCGTACTTTTCCTGTGAGGCTTGGTCTGTGCCAAAGCACAGTGAACCATATCGGCTCCCTTTATTATATTAGGGTAAGCCCCAAGAAAGACTGGTGCGGTGAGTGTATTTACATACCTTCAGACTCAACCATTAAATTAAGTGCAACTGTTCCACTAAAACATCTGTGGAAACCGGACCTGAAACACGAGTCATAAGCAAAGGTCTCGCACCTTATCCGCAGTTTACATACAAGGACAACCGGGTTCCAACGTAAGCCATCAACACTTCCGGGGTGATTTCATTTGGTAATACTCGGAATAAGTCGAACGAGCCTAGTTGCATTAAACAGGAAGGTAAGACAGCTTTTAACGCTCTGATCCACTCGGCAGGGCATTGAAGGTCCTTTGCATAGAGCCTAGGATGGGCAGTCAATAAAACATGCACAGACATGTAATGGGTTTCCTTGACATACGATTCACGGACGTGACCAGCACGAGTGTGGTCCGTCGGTATCAGATCACGCAGCCGCATCCTAACGTCACGACCAGTTTGGCAGTTTCTTACTGGTATAGCTAAGCAGAGTAAACCGAGAACAGCCGTCAGCAAATCTATATGAGATATATATCCTGCAACTTTTAGATACATACCTCCCGAGGAAGACGATGTAACCAAGCACCCATTGTTCAAAGTTGGTGCATCCCAGCAATCAAGCTGGTTTAATCCACGAATCACGAACGGCTTCCCTTCCTGTAGCTTTCTTTCAAACCAGCCAGTGGTCTCGTAGATGGTCTGGACCGGAAACTCGGAAAATGGAACAAACAGCCCCCCGGAACGCAGGAGATCCTGCGCAGACGGTATATTTGACTGAGAAAACTCCATTTTGTGGCTGACAGAGAACCCATATGAGTTTCTATGTAAAGTAAAGCAATGAAAGCATATTTCCGGATATATGGACTGATGCCACGTCAGTGTCGAACTACCAACAAGCATCTCGGAACTGGATGTGGCGGTTGTTTCTCACTGGGGTTAGCACACGTGATTTACGGCTGCGAAGTGTCTTAACCCTTTAAGGAAATATAATTGGACCGGGCCTGGAACCCAAACTCAAGGCTATTTATAAAATGAAGCCACTAGAATCGTCGTATCAGGGGTCTAACTCAACATGAACAGAATAACTACCAGATGAACTAACTTATAACAATTAAGTTGTTCGATCCAATGAGCCAGATTGTACGAATATCAGTCCTCTCGGAATCTCAGATGATTATATAGTTTAGCAAAAAGCACATAATCAGGAACCTAGGGTAATCTGGCTTCAGAGAATTATCCTAGCCCGTCGAATGAACCGTATTCTTTACATATAAGTCACCTGAAGCTTGTAAACCGTGTCCTTATAAAAAGAGTGCGAAGCGGAAACCCAACCTGAACAGCAGACCACGTCTCTTGTGAAATATGCTTCAGTACGTCCTAATTGATCTAACCGATGTAGATGAATACGAATGCTCTGGTTAGCACGACGGATAATTATCCCGGCGAAACTCATAAGTGTTTTGTTGTGTTTGTGATACTCGAATTACTGAATATTAAATAGGAATCTATTCCCATCTATCATTCAAATAAGGGCCGAGCGTGTGCTTGGTGGGATTTAGGGTTACTGTACGGCGTCATGTAGCAGTATTTAACTTGCCAGTTTATAGGAAGCTTATGAATAGATTCATATAATCACGCAGCGAATTTAAAGAATCTCAAGTCCATGAATGCATCGAAAATGAGACAGAGTGTGTCCTTCACCATATGGTGATGTTCCGCAAGAACAGCAGTATTTCAACTCGAATTAAAAACAAGAGGGTGAACTCAAGACCACTAAAAAATAGGACTACCAAATAAATGAATAGCGCCGGTTGTCTGTGAGATTTCTTTAGCCACGATTCGTCATTTCTAGTTGATGAAAATCATATCTGCACTTCGGTGCAACGCTGGACACTGCAAAGGCAGGATAATTGAGTTTTGCCTGATTTGATCCAGGGTAATGGCAGTCTGAGACTCGGAGCTCAGCGTCCGTGTCGACCTAATCTTGGATTTTCTAATTCAAATAACCCATATTTAAATATCAACTAGCTATGATCTCCTAAACCTAGGGTGTTTGATTTAATTGGTCAAATTTGGTCCTCGGTATACTCCCCGAGTTCGGTCATTCTGACGGGCTGTGATTCCGAGATTTCCAGGGGTTTCCTCTATTGAGTGGATGATCACCTGTCTATCTGATGTGCTTGTAAATCTATGGTTCACGGATTATGGAGACATGATCCCTATGCTATTGAATGAGCTGTGATGAAGTTCTCTCGTCATCCGGAATAATCACCCGAGAACTTCCATAGGCTTTATTGTCGCATTCAGGGGCCACGGCCGAGAAGCAAAACCAAGGGGCTAGAATTTTCAAAGGGAAAATGAAAATGAAGATGTAGAAGAAAAAGACCCTCCGTGCTGTATGATACACAAAAATGACCAAGTTCCAATCGAAGTGGATGTTAGACGGATTTATCGTACTATTCTAAGTCAGGATTAGTGTACCAAGCCAACCTCACTTGAATGGCCAATCGCCAATCGCTCAAGGCGCGTACTGTAGTAGTACAATTCTTCAGTTGTTTAGCCCTTGGCCTCGGCCAGACTCTTCGCAATCTGCAGCTTCAAAGGGAGCAACGTAACTTGATTGTCATTTCTCCCTTTCCTGCTTCTGCCTGGTACCATTCTACAAACACTTACCCAAACTGTAATTTTCACGTTATTGTTACCTTAGATCCTAGCATAGTCTATGACTCGCCGATGTAATAGAAGCAATTCCTTGCTTCTAATAGATAGTAAACTAGACTTAGCGTGCTTTGAGCTTAAGGGGCATGTACTTCATTAGAAATGCTTGGTATGTATGATTTATTATGCCACTGCTAGCTGTAGCCTATCCATTTTACTATAACTTCCTTATTAATTAGCTTCGGGTGCTCGACGGAAGTCCAGATCCGAAGGCGGCTAGACACATCTAGCAGTCATATAAACATTTGTAAGGGTAAACAAAAAGGTCACATAGAATGGATTTCTCTGTTCAAAAGAGTCATCAAATAATATACTGTAGGGTAGGGGTTGTTTGTGCCTTTGTTTCGTAGTGAGGTTCTAGAAAGGTGGGTGAAATTTGATCCAGTGGCTTCACCAAGAAACCCTTCCTGGGTTTTGTACTATTGCACTGCTGCCTGAGTAGAGTTGCAGAGGGAAAGAAACGTGGTTATTCTGCACCATACTACCAAGTAGTACTAGTCTCTTGTGATTACGGTTGTCCACGGACGAAGCGTTAGGGATTAGTATTACCTGGGTGTGAGTACGGGGTTGGGGATTCCCACGGGGAAATAGCAGTGGAACCATGGAGAAAGAAGTGTTAAGTGTACAAGTGAATGCAGTACTGGTGTGATTGGGTATTGGTTTCTGCTAACCCCGTCCGGGGAAAGCATCACCTGCTGTGTTGGAGCCCTATTTCTCAGGTCTTCCATGACACCTTCCCCTTTTAGATCGCATGACACTCTTCTTTTTTCATCTCGTCTGCTTCTCCCCCGCACTTTTCCCTTCTTAAACCTTCCTTTTCCCCCTATTCTCACCTCCTCTAGCAAAGTACTGCTACCTCTCTCCCACTTCAGCCATCAAATCTGGAGCTTTTCCCAACCGCTGACGGTATTCACATTTCTCTGTACGTCTCTTTCTGTAAGCCTCAGTGATCATGGATGACTCCAAAGTGAAGTCGGATGGAGACACGCCTCCTGACGATCTAATGTCACACGTGGAGCAACGGTTCGTTGCCTCTTTCATATATAGTTCGTTCTCAAGAAACCCTTGCTAACAGGTTCTGCAAAGTCTCAGCGATGATCATGGCACTTCTGAGAAGGGGCATGTTGAGCATATCAATCTCAACAAGAACACCTCTGCCAAGTAAGCTATCTCTTATATGCAGTCGTATTCACAGTATCTCCCTTTTTGTGCGAATGGGAGCTAATGCATCCTTCTAGGATCAAGAACCCTCTTGCAGACTTGACCCCCGCTCAGGTTCTTCAAGATGTTGAGCACTTCGCCAATGAGCATGGGCTTCAAGACATCCTCGATCATCTGAAGAAGGGTGCTCTTATTGCGAGGGACCCAGACAACTTCGAAACAGTTGAGAACATGACTGGTGAGGAAATCACTGTCATTACTAACGAGACCACTCACAAGTGGCGCCAGCCATGGCCGCTCTATTTCACCATTGGCCTTTGCTCCATTGGGGCTGCCGTCCAGTATGTACTACTATCTTGTCGACTCATTGTCTATTGCTTTCCCTTATGATAGTAGCTAATTTTCCTTCAGGGGATGGGATCAGACGGGAAGTAATGGTATGTATCTTTGCTAGCCATTTCGGGTTGGACGCCTGTTTATCTCCTTCCCTACCAGGTGCCAACTTGTCTTTTCCTGATGCCCTGGGCATCCCAGAGAAAGGTGCACTCAAGGCCAGAAACCAGTGGCTTGTTGGTATTTTGAACTCGTATGTATTCCATATTTCCAAATGCTCAACTACTAATAGGGAAACTAGTGCGCCTTACCTTGCAACTGCGTTTGGCGGCTGCTGGGTCTCAGACCCCCTTAATAAGTACCTGGGCCGTCGTGGCGTCATCTTTATCTCTGCTATTTTCTGCTTGCTGACCCCAATTGGCTCTGCTGTCTCTCAAACCTGGCCTCAGTTATTCGTTACTCGCCTGCTGATGGGTATTGGGATGGGACTGAAAGGAGCCACAATCCCCATATACTGCGCCGAAAATACCCCTGCAAACATTCGTGGCGGCCTGGTGATGTCCTGGCAATTGTGGACTGCATTTGGAATTTTCCTCGGGACTTGCGCAAACCTTGCTGTCAAAGATACGGGTGCCATATCCTGGCGCCTGCAACTCGGCTCAGCTTTTATTCCAGCTCTTCCTCTGACCCTTGGTGTGTTCTTATGCCCTGAATCCCCTCGTTGGTATCTCAAAAAGGGGTTGGTCAGGAAAGCATACCAGTCACTATGCAAATTGCGTAACAGCGATTTACAGGCGGCCAGAGACCTCTACTACATCTATACCCAGATCAAGATCGAAGAAGAGCTTGTTGGTAAAAACAATTTCCTGGTGCGTCTTGGTGAATTGTTCACTATCCCGCGTGTCCGCCGCGCAACTCTTGCGTCAGGGACAGTCATGCTTGCCCAACAGATGTGCGGTATTAATATTGTGGCGTTTTATTCCTCAACAATTTTTGCTCAAGCTGGGGCAAATGTGACTGAGGCATTGCTTGCCTCATGGGGCTTTGGTCTGATCAACTTCCTGTTCGCCTTTCCTGCTGTGTTCACTATCGATACATACGGACGCAGGGCCCTCCTCCTGTTTACCTTCCCGCAAATGGCCTGGACATTGTTGGCTGCAGGGTTTTGCTTTTACATACCGCAGGGACAGACTGCACACCTAGCCTGCATCTCTCTTTTTGTCTTTATGTTTGCTGCATTCTATTCAGTCGGCGAGGGACCTGTTCCTTTTGCTTACTCTGCCGAGGTATTCCCTTTGTCGCATCGAGGTGAGAAACCCGCCGTCGAAGAGTGCAGAGAGGATTTACTGATTTGCGTATTCTATTTCATTACATAGAGGTTGGTATGTCCTTTGCTGTGGCGACAAACCTCTTTTGGGCGGCCGTGCTCAGCATCACATTCCCACGGATGCTGGAGGTTATGACGCCAACAGGAGCTTTCGCCTTTTACGCGTAAGTTGTCACCCAAATGTTGCTACTTGAGGTTTTGTTCCACAAAGACCTGACATAAGAACAGGGGCTTAAATGTTACAGCATGTATCATGATCTTCTTCTTAGTTCCGGAGACTAAGCAGCGCACCCTGGAGGAGCTGGACTACGTATTTGCTGTTCCTGTCCGTATGCACTCCGGCTACCAGCTCAAGAAAGCACTCCCATACTGGGTAAAGAGATATATCCTTCGACGCAATGTCGAGCTGGAGCCTCTGTACCAGTTTGACCACGTAGCGACGCGGACCTAACGGAAGAGGTAGGGCCCAATATCTCTCAGATTGAGAGAACTAATTTACTACTTTACTGGGTTGGAAGTTCGAGACGATTTACTGGTGGTTGTCATTCTAATCCTTTCGGCAGTTTAATATAAGATCTTATGGCGTGTATGTACCAGGTCATGGATGGTTATGAGGTTAACGCTCTCCATGTTTTACTAGTTACATCAGCGTATGTGAAATGAAAAGTTGCTTGAATGGTTTTCTCTAGCTAGTTAGCCATTCGGGAGATAATGAGCATTGCTCTATCTTGCTTTGGTCCAAAGAGGAACTTTTGGAGTCTCTGTATTGACCTTGTTTTGTCTCTCTCCCCCCTCGTTCACTCTTCCCAGAAATCTGCAATAGAATGTTGATTGGGAGTAAGGTCATTCTAGTGAAAACAGACTGCCTGTGGTCTACGATGGGTCAGGACGCTGGAAGCTTTCGCAACTTTGTGATAGCACTTACAGCTTCCTTCGTCTTTCCAGTTTTATTCTACTTCTTTCCTCATACCGCCACTACCAGCTGCAAGATCGTCAGCCTTTTGGGGACATGGGAACTCCTGGAAAGCCATTCTTAAAGCCATTGAATGCTGCTACATGTTTACTAGGCGCGGGAACTCTCCACACTCGTCTCACGGAAAAGCTCTGAGATGCTAATGCGAAGTATCCCAACTACTATATCGATAAAGGGGTCTGTCTACTCCTGGTTTTAGAGAAAAACCTCCGTTTCGGCTTAGAATAACCTTTATATACTTAATTCCCAGAAATAAAACTGGGGCCAACGTGCCGTCAGCGCACAAGGGTTGAAAGTCATATCTTAAATTTCACGGTGACAATCTAGTTGCAGCTCTGAGGGACCTTGTTTGTATCATTCTCAAGCATCAAGTTGCATCGCCCCCGTTCGGCAACTCCACCAGACCTTGAACCCGAGCTTCTCATACCACCCTTCGAGGCTCACCCAGTCAACAAAAATCCCTTCAACTCCTCTTTGCTTCATATCTTCGATCGCATGGCAGAGTAAGGCAAGTCCAACTCCTTCCTTGCGATAATCTGCGTCGACACCGACACAACCAATGAGGCCGGTTTTGGGCCCACAGAGAGAAGGGAATGCCCAATGCGGCTTTAGCATGGGAGACTCATGGGAAAGCATTAATGTCCAGCCTACTTGCTTCCCGTTAGGGTCAAATGCGGTCATTACACTGGACGGGTATTTGCTAGGGTCAAGTTTATGATACATCTGAACCCAGGCCTATGAAATATATCAGTACATTATAAGCGCTTATAGGTGACAGGTAGTATATTAAAACACATACTTGGTTATACGAGAAGTTCTTCTCCTGGCCAACAAGACATTCTTGGTAGTCGGCAGTTTCTAGAGGACGGAAGGTATATCCTCGCTCCTTAGCTCGTGTAACGTACAACTCTGGATTTTGAAATTCTGTGATATCTTGATAGAGATCAACAGACCGTGGAACTGGGGGGTTTAGCTGGAATCCCCGATGAACAAAGAATTCCTGGACCTTCGTCGGCAGGTCAATGGGAAGCCCAGGCCAGAAACGTGGAAATGTACTTCCCAGCTCTAGACGAGATTTCTTGAATGTATTCTCCATCCAAGCCTGACACTCTGCAAATAAGGCGGTCCCTACTCCCCGCCCCTGCCATCTTGGATCAACCGCAAGCGCTGCAAGTTGGACACAGACAGTATCTCCCTGAGCGGCCACGAAGAGGAGACAAAATCCAACGACTTTGGACTCCGGGTAGCTTGTTCTGGCAACGAGATGGTGTGATTCAACAGGGAGGACATGGGGCGGAGGGGTTATAACTTCATTTAGGTTGTCTGCAGATACTTTATAACTGGGCAGGGCTGCGAGCCATACATCATATACCTGGGGAAAGTCAGTTGCAGATGCGTATTGTCGTACTTCAAGCCAACGTGGTGCAGGCTTTTCTGGCCCAACAGGTAGAGCCCCCTTTGCGAGGTGCGGCCTAAAGAGAAGCTCCACAGCTACTGTAAAGGCCTCTACCGTCGGCTCGTACGTAGTGACGTAGGTCTGAATATTCGAATCCTCCAGAAAGTCATAGGGATTACAGAGTGCCATAGCAACCATTGCACGATTGCGGCGCGGCAGTTCGAGACCCAACGTTCTTTGATATGCTGATTCCCGTGCATTGATAGACGCGAATATGACAACATCTGCGGCTTCGACAAGGCTGAGCTGCTCAGTCGATAGACCCGCTGGCCCGTATCGAATCTCGAAGGCTTGGTTATTCCATTGTCTAAGAATGTCGAGGTAAACGGAGGCGTTATAGGATCCCTTCCTGCCTAATCCTTCCCCATCCACTGCACCGCCGGCCGGTGTCTTATCCCCCGGAAAGAGAAATGCAATCTTCGACGAAGGAGACAAGGGAAGAATACTCTGTGTATCGCGCACAAGAGTGACCGAGCTAGTATAGGCATCTTTTGCTAATTTTGCGCCTTTTTGGTTAAGATATGTAAGCCCATTAAGGCTCTGTGGCTTGAGCGCTGCGTCCCAACTTAGAAAACGGGCTTTTAGTGTAGTCACTCTACGAAAAGCTTCCTCTAGACGCGAAGCCGGCACCTTTCCGGATTCTACAGCCTCGCAGATCTTGTCGATTGATCCTACCTGGACATCATAAGTGTGACAGACCATAATGCTGTCGCAGCCAGCCCCTAAAGCGAGGACTGCCCCCTGCTCCGTACCGTATGAGGCACGGATACCATCCATCTCTAGACAATCTGTGATCACCATACCGTCGTATTTCATGTCCTTTCGCAATATATTCAAAGCTTCGGCAGAAAGTGTAGCAGGGAGCCGACTGTCGTCAATAGCAGGTAGCGAAATGTGGGCTGTCATCACCGCCTCAATACCTTCGGCTGCAGCTCTGCTAAAAGGTCTCAATTCACATTTTTCTAGTTGTTCTCTTGTCTTAGAGATGACAGGAAGGCCAAAGTGGGAGTCCACGGCAGTATCTCCGTGTCCTGGGAAATGCTTGACGCTGGGAACCACCTTTTGCTCTCGGAGTCCTTGAGCAGTGGCGCATGCCAGTCTTCCCACCAATCCAGGGTGATCTCCAAAGCTGCGGACGCCGATCACTGGATTTAGGGGTTCTGAGTTAATGTCACACACAGGTGCATAGTTCATGTTGATCCCGAATAGTCTCAGTGTCTCGCCCGTGACGGTGCCGACTTCCTTAGCAAGCTCTGGGGCATAAGTCGCTCCAAGAGCCATAGGCCCGGGGAGTTGAGCAGCAATAGGAGGTGAAATCCGGGTGACCAACCCATTCTCTTGGTCAACACCAATAAACAAGGGATATTCATGCCCAGCTAGTCTCGCTTCGTCTTGTAAAGAGTGGGTTAGAGACTAAGAGTATTAGCGCTGTTTATTTATTTATTTATTTTATTTTTTGGTATTTATCATCGTATGACTAGAGCGACCTACTTGCAACTGGACTGCATCGCTGATGTTTCGCTTGAAAAGAACAATGCCCCCCAAGCCATATTCGTGGATTAGGGTTTTGATCTCGGGACTAGGAGTGAGGCCGTGAAAGCCGACCGCAAAAAGCTATACAAAGGTGGTACTTAGTTCATTGTTCATTGGCGTTGTTTGTTCGAAAGTCATGTTATGAAGCCTTGCTCGTACCTGGCCGACTTTCTTACGCAGATCTGTGGATTGCATCTCAGCAACTTCAGAGTGAGGGGCTGAAGAGAGTTGGAGAGTGACTTGCGTGGTGGTAATAATAGGCAGATGGGTGTGGAGTGGAGTCGTGGTTCCGTTGTTATTAAATGGCTTGCAAGGAGACCCACGCGGCGCGGGGGAGAGTAGTAGAGGAGATCTAAGCATCAGTCCATTAGTTGGGCCAATAGTAGTGAATTCAAAGAAGACTAATAGTGATTAAAAAGAAATTTGGATGTATCTTGAAGTGAGAGAGAGAGTGTGTGTGTGTGAGTGGAGAGACAAACTAAAATGGAAGGTACAGTACAAGTACATACAAAACATACAAAACATACAAACCCTGTTTTGTATGATTGATTGATTAATTGCCTTATTGGGTTCAGGCAATACTTTTGATTCACGTGAACCTTTATGAAAGTATCCAACAAATCATGGATAATTAAAAACACCAACACCAACACCAGCGAGGAAGGGTAAAAGTGAACTCTGGCGATACATTTAAACCCCCTTCATTGCGGGGTAAAAAGAAGAGGAGATCAACGGATCCGATTCGATGGATGATCTCTCTGATAAGTGCACCCTATTCTATCATCTACTAGTACTCATCCTTGATTCACAATTACCAAGTACCACCGTGGCATCCCACAGTGTGCGATCTCTTATCTCCCGACCACTATAATCGTCTCACCTTTGCCGTTTCTCTCTACAATCCTTACTGATCTATTCCATCCTTTCGTCTATTCTCGACTCAATAACCACCACATACATCCTTTCCGAAACAGGGCGACAAGGAACGCTTTATTCCTTGCTGGACAATCATCATATCGCACGACGATCGATGTGTGGATAGAGACGTATCTTTGATGGATTTGAGTGTTACTAGTAACAGGGCTACTCAAGAAAGTCCAGACTCCACCAGCAAGGCCGATGTCACTGTTCAGGGTGTAGTACAGCCGCAAGAGCGGCTCCCCTCAAGGGATGAACTTGACCACCTTTTCAGAGCTGAGGAGGACTATGACCAGCCCACAACGACCAGGAAAGAGTTATGGTCTTACTACCTATACTATAATGGTGAGCTCTTTGAGGTCTCTTGCTTCTGGTCCTCCCTGACTTGGGTTGCCTTGGCCTTCAGGTGATAATGGAGTTGGTCCTGGTTCTTATTCTCAAGCACTGTAAGGCGCTGGACCGGCAATATCATAAGGTGGACTAATCGAACCCCCTTAGATTCCAATGGGCTCTGACTGGTGCGGGCTGGCAGCCAGGGGCGGAGCCACATGAACCTTGCACAACGTCATCTGCGTGTGTGGTTCCTTGGGCTGGAGGCACTCGCTCCGTCTCGTCAGTCGTTCTAATTGCCAATGGACTTTGTTTTACTTTTATGACAGTGATTTTTGTTTGGCTGGGCAGTGCCGCAGATTATGGCTCATTTGGCCGCTGGCTACTCTTAGTCCTCACTGTTGTCTGTTGGGCTTTGCAGTACGGTATGATGGCAATCAAGCATCCCAATCAATGGCCTGCAGCAATGGGCATGTACGTGGTCGCATATGTTGCTTATGGTGCGACATTGGTATTCTACGCAGCTGCTTTTCCTCGACTTGCGCGTTTTATGCCCCACGTCCGCAAAGCCCGTGAAGAAGATTTGCGCGAAGACAAAATCACTATGGAGGAGTACGACGCGATAGAGTCGCTGGAAAAAAACCATATTAGGTTAAGAACCTATCTTATATCTACTTTGCTGAGTAGGCACTAATGAATCGTAGCAACGTGTCGACTGCGCACAGTAACATTGGATACCTCTTGACACTTGCCCTCAATTTGAGCGTTTTGCTGCCGCTCCAGGGAAAGGACTATTCAAATAATCTTGCTTTGTGTCTGACAAACTCCTGTAAGTATGACCTGAGCTTCGATTGGCTTCATGTATCCTGGCTAACGGTCTTCAGACTGGGTCCTCCTAGGCTTTTGGTGGTTCATTTTCCAGCAGAAGCGCCCTGGGCCCCCAGTTCCAAAGGGCTCCACTTATGCAACGATTGGCTTCAAACAATTATGGGTAGCACTCCGAGAAGTTCGGTTACTACCACAAACGTTTCTCTACTTTGTTGCTTACTTTTTGCTGGCTGATGGACTGAACACGACTGGTAAGGCTTCTGCTGTGTATTCCACGTGTCAACTGAGAAGATCAAGATCACAGCTAACGAAGTCTCACCTCAGGGACACTCGTCAGCATAATCCAGAACAATGAGGTATCATTTTCGTTTCTCCAACTGACATATCTTGGAATCGTTCAAGCTGTAACCTCGACCATGTCGACCTTCGGGTTCTGGTATATTCAGAAATATTTCAAAATAAGCACTAAGCGAATGTTTCTCGTCACCAATTTCTTCAGTGTCTTCATCCCTTTCTGGGGGATGTTAGGTTTGTGGACAACACGAATCGGATATCACCATCGGGTGAGTCGATTCGATACACCAACTAGATTAATCAAGTCTACGAATCTTTAACTAACAAGATACGCTTTAAACAGTGGGAGTTCTACTTCTATAACGTTGTTTTTGGTCTCTTTCAAGCTCCATACTACGCCGTACGTTCGTCTCTTTTTCGAAAGTTCTGAGGTTATAATTATAGTAATCCAAAATAGTACGCCCAAACAATGATCAGCGAGCTCATGCCCCAAGGATATGATAACATGTTTTTCGCTCTATTCGGCATCACCAACCGTGCCGTAAGTCTGCCATCCACAGCCACATCGGAGCATACTCACAGTGTCCATCTAGTCCTCGATCATCGGCCCGAATGTCATCCAAGCCATCATCAACAATACACAAAACAATTGGATGGGGTTTCCATTTCTCTTTGCTATTTGTACTGTTGCTATGATCATGATTAGTTTTGTGGATGTGGAGAAAGGTCGTCAGGACGGGCGAAAATTCGTGCAGAAGAAAAAAATGCTTCCGGGGGTTGGGGTGAACTAAATATTGTAAACAAGTGCAAGGAAAGATTTTTCTTCCATTACTGAAGACGATATGAGAGTCAGTGTTAGATCAATAGTACCATTATCCTGCAGTGCGGAAGAATAACTTGAAAACTGGTTACTATCCGTGTCAACGAGAAATATCTCAATTCGGTATCTAAGACTATTGTAGACTGTGACTATGTAGAGGGAGAACCAAAATGGGTATATACAAAAGCCAAACGCCATGCCATAAAACACGAGAATAACAATATATACATTAAGTATGTGGTCTAAAAAAAGCCAAAAACCCAAGTACTTTTGGATCTATCCCATATAATCCTCTATTGTATCATGCCTGGCACATTAAGCACGACGTAAATATATCTTTGCATCTACCGTTCTTTCTCCGCTCTCTCTTTTTTTCTTTCTTTCTTTCTTTCTTTTTTTTTTTTTTTTTTTTTTTTTTTTTTTTTTTTTTTTTTTTTTTTTTTTTTTTTTTTTTTTTTTTTTTTTTTTTTTTTTTTTTTTTTTGTAAGCCCCTACACATTCTCACAAGGTGCTTCTTTTGCTCGAGCTTGTTTCTGCTCATGCTTGGAATCGATGGCTTCGCGCCACTTAGGGCCGTATTCAGCCGTTAGCCATACTAAGGCCCCAGCAATGACCAGAAACAAAGCCGAGACTGTATTGAACCAACCCACACCCATGGCCTTGGTGGCTGGTAAGACGACGCCGGTGCCCAACGCGGCAAAAACATACCGGAAGAGGTAGTTGCCTGCGATGACCTCTGCGCTGCGACCCTGATCGTGCATCACGTCAAGGCAATAGGTGTTGATACTTGGGAAGCAGAATAATTGTGCGACGCCCTGTAGGAACATGGCGATAACGGGAACGGGGATACCACCGACCTCCTGGTCGAGTGTCCAGCCATAGATGAGGATGCAACCCGGGGCGACGACGCACACGAATGCTAGGCAAGAGCGCAGCCGATCCTCTGGGATTCGGAGGCCGTTGCGACGTTTAATGTACTTTCGAACAAAATAATCGGCCCAGCGACCCCCGACGAAGGTGCCAGCTAAGTAGCCAGCTCCTGGAGCAAGGTAAAAGAGACCGCATTCAATAGGGCTGTTTAGGTGGAAACGAGGGTTGAGGATGTAACGGATAGGGGTTAAAAGAGCGTATTGGTTCCAGACCAGGGCACCGGCGGCTAGACCGGTTATGAGGATGTTTGGATATGAGAAGGTCAGGGTTATCACACGAACGGGCGACACACGCTGCCACAGGAGCTTGGTCTGTTCGGGAAGACTCTTCCCGGCCAGATCACCATCGGTTTTAGAGTGTATCGTCTCAGGAAAGAGAAAAATGAGCATCAAGGCGGAAAACCCGCTCATCGCAGACAAAAGCCAGAAGATCACCCTCCATGATCGGAAGGTCACAATGACACCCTGAGTCTTCATGTTAGCCACTGCCGACTAGTTGATTGACCATAAGTGGAATCAAGACATACACCGAGGAAAGGGCCAGCCGCAGGTCCAGTCATACTCCCTGACAGAAGCCATACCATTGCTGATGCTCGGCTACGAGGCTCATACACATCTCCGATGGCGGAGCTACCGACAACAAGGAAGGATGTCCCTTGGAAAGCAGTGAGGATACGGAAGACGAAGTAGGCAGGAAGATTAGGAGACAGGGCCGTGGCAACCGTAAAAATGAAGAAAAGAACGCCGCTTGCGACAAATATCTAAAGAGAAACACTTGTCAGTGGAAGGTCTTAGACAAAGAACCCTAAAACATAGAGGTGAAACTTACGGGGCGACGACCCCAAACCTGGCTAAGAGGACCCCAGACAAGAGAGGCGACTCCCATGGACGTCAGATAAAGTGCATTGCTAGCATTGATTATATCCCCCGTTGTTTTAAAGGTCTTGGATATCTCTGGAACTGCGGCCAGGATGGCTGTTGAGGAGATAGGAGCAAGAAAGGCACAGTACGAGAGGATAGAAACAATGATAATTTTTCGTGCGGGTGAGAACCGCTTATATTGTTCTGCATCAGCCTCTTCAAAGTCATCATCGTCTGCAACAGGCTCTTTTTGCAAATCAGAGCCTTGCTCAGATTGCACAGGAACAAGCGTATTGGGGGTGCCAGGGGGTTGCCCGAAGTCTTCGCGAGGAGCTAGATGCTCCTCTGTGGCAACTTGAGTGGTAGCAGAGTTGAGAGACGATCTGTCCGACATCGTCGGTATCTCTCTCTCATGGACAGAGACAGACTTGACAGAAGCAGACTTGAACATGGCTCAGGCCAACTGCAGGGACAACAAGGGAAAGACAATGTTCAACTAGAGAATGAAATTGTTTGAACTCCTCCAGGGATTAGGCACTGGATCAATGAACGAATGAGCTACTGTATAGAAAGATTTGACATTGAGTTGTCTTAGAGGCTAACTGAAATGAGCGACAGGGAGAGAGCCAAGAGAAAGCATTGAAAAGAGAGACTGAGAACTGGAAAAGGGAAGTCTGTTTTGGATACAATGCTTCAATGAGTAGACATATTGACACCATCTGCATCTTAAATGAACAAAATCGGAAAAGGAGACAGACCCCCAATGTTCTTTGCATTGCGCGTTTTGCAGAATAGAATTTCATTTTTAGCACGACTATCATCACATCATCAGCCTGAAGTGTGGCCAGACCACGCAGCCACATGGAGCCAACTCGATATCATTGGTGCCTGAGTGTTCAGCGCCCAGTGGGAAGACAATGTGAAGAGTAGCACATGCTTCACAGGGCGGCCATGGAAATACCACAGTCCCCGTACAATGCGCGGAGCCAATGATGTGTCTGAGACCTAGCCACGCCCATGGCCACTATAGGTTCGGGAGCGGAGCCGCAGGTCTATAGCTTGGCCCAAGAGTGGGAACAGGATCGACATTGCAGTCCAACTAGACCCCTGGATGACCAACGGCGCAAACAATAGGCCGAAAACTACTACGCGTGTTCCCATGAAGTAATTGTTTCATTCGGCGGAGACGGTAGCAGGACCCGTTTGGGGTTCTAGGAGTAGTCCGCACACGGCTTTCCGATAGCTCCCGTTACCCATCGGTTCTTGACTGAGGATCCGCGACCAAGTGGAGCCGCAACAGGAGCTGTTCAGGAGGATCATCACAATGGGACCAGATGGGTTTTGCGACAACCAGACACATGACGACCCAACTAATGTGATGGAGTCAATTTTGACGTGCTCTCACAATTGTTGATCTGGTAAGAATTTATAATAATTATTGAGTCTCAACGACCCACTGATCACCATACACAGTAACCCGGCTGGTCTACTTGTTGGCTAGAACAAGTTTTCGTCACAAGGACCATAACATCCTGTCTGAAAATCAGCCCATTTTCGCGTGTTCTTCTAATTCACCTTTTATCCAAAGCAATAGACCTGACAGAGGAGAAGGGACAAAGGCGTGGATAGATAACAGTGTTTATTTAACACATGGACGTTTCCCTTCAGGACCGGCCTTCCAGTTTTATTCAAACCCCTCAGAAGTCTCTTTTGGAGTGTTTAGGATCCTGTTTTCCATGATCAGCCAATCCTTGAGTTGATTAGTGAAAATACAGTTGCCGTAAGTCCCCAGACACAGACAATAATTGCTAGATTGCCTGTGCGAGGCGTAAAAGCTTCAAGGGTGACGGGTACGCGTCACGCACAAAGGCAATAAAGAGACAGGACCAAAAATGTGTATCCGAAAGAAAGCCGACAGCTGAGGTTTGAAGGGGGAGGATAGGTTGCTTGCGTGGAAAAAGGGACCGAACAGCTTGACTCGTGATAAATCAGGTGCAAAGCCACGCTGAGAGCCAAGTCATCTGATAAGATCTCCACCAGGGAAAACAAGCCTCAATATTAAAACGGCCAGGAATCTCAAATTCAACCTGTGACAAGACTTCCGATGTTCTAACTCGCGTCTTTTCCTTATTCTCCTTTTATTTTATTATTTTTTTCGTATATTTTTCTTTACTGTTGCCCCGATACATCAATATTGTCGGAGAATAAAAGCAAAGTTGACCCCTTGGTCCAAAGATCCAACCGAGGATAAGAGGTGAGGTGGCAAAATTAGACCTCGACTAAGGGAAGATTCTCACCAATGCCAATGACTTTTCGATGTCTGTACCGACGGTAAAAGAAAGATGCATGCAGGAAGGGGACCCAAGAGTTTCAAACCAACCAAAGGAAAAAAGACGGCGGCGGGGGGCATGACGTCGCAATGGGACTAGTGTTACGACCGTTCGCGTGGGCAATTCAGCTACGGAGTCTAAACCCAACTAACTGGCTTCACCCTCATCATCCATTGCTCTTCTTCCCTTTCTCCCCACTTCGCCATATTCTTGACCTTTTGTCAAACAAACCCCCCCCCCCCCCCCAGACTGTTACTGCTGGCTCCAGTGACTACTTTTTTTCCGTTAGATCAATAACTCGAAATTAAAACAACTTTTCTTCTTTGGAAATTTAAAACTACCTAGCAAAAGATGAGTTCCAGCAAGGATGCAATCCCCGCCAGCAGCAAAGGCTCCTGGTCAAGTTTCCTCAAGGTACGTCACAGCCTGCTTCAATTGACAACTCATTTCTTCGACTAACTGGTGAGCCCTCCTAAAGTCTATCGCCTCTTTCAACGGCGACCTCTCTTCCTTGACCGCTCCACCTTTTATCCTTTCCTCCACTTCCTTGACCGAGTACTCCGCCTACTGGGCTGAGCATCCGAACCTTTTCGTGGCCCCAGCTACAGAAGCGGACCCCGAGAAAAGAGCCCTAGCTGTTCTGAAATGGTTCATTAGTACCCTCCACCAGCAATATTGTACCCGTAGCGAGAAACTGGGTAGTGAGAAGAAGCCCCTGAACCCCTTCCTGGGAGAGCTCTTCCTGGGCAAGTGGAACACTGACGAGCATGTCGGGGAAACCTCATTGATCAGTGAACAAGTCAGGTAGGTGGACACCCCAGAACAAGTCTTTTTCGACCGCAGGAGGCTGACCGAAGTCAGCCACCACCCCCCAGCAACCGCCTATGCGATTCGGAATGAGAAACATGGGGTAGAAGTAAGTCTGCATCTTCTTTTTCTTTTTAAATTTTATTTTCTGCTCCAGAGAGTCATTATTAACGTTATTCTTGTACAGCTACAAGGTTACAACGCCCAGAAGGCCTCCTTCTCAAGCACCATTCAAATCAAGCAGATCGGGCACGCCCTCCTGACCGTCACCCCACCCAACGCGGATAAGAACGACCCGGCCCAGAAGGAACAGTACATTATCACACTTCCAAGTTTGCACATTGAATCCTTGATCTATGGAACTCCGTTCGTGGAACTAGAGAAAACGACACGAATTGTTAGCAGCACTGGCTACGTGGCTAAAATCGACTACTCCGGTAAAGGCTGGCTAAGTGGAAAGAAAAACACCTTTAACGCTATCTTATATAAGGAGAGCGAAGGAGAGAAGAAGCCTTTGTACACTGTCGATGGGCAATGGTCGGATAAATTCACCATCAAGAATGCCCGAACCAAGGATGAAGTGGAGACGTACGTGGTTAAGGATAGCAAGACTACTCCGCTCCAGTTGGCCCCACTGGAGGATCAAGACCTTTACGAAAGTCGGCGTGCCTGGCGGGACGTGGCATCGGGCATCGAGCGGGGCGACATGGACGCCGTGTCTGTGGCCAAGTCAAAGATTGAGAACGCCCAACGCGAGCTTCGCAAGGTTGAAAAGTCCGAGGGCCGGGAATGGGAGCGCCGCTTCTTCAACCGCGTAGATGAAAACGAGGATCAGGGACTCTTACAACTTGCTAGAAAGGCCGGCCTTACATCGCTCGAAGGCGACAAGACTGGTGGGGTTTGGCGCTTCAACCCAGCAAGCGCAGATGGTGCGAAGCCGCCGTATCACAAGGCCGGTGGCGAAGGCTTGGGAGTCTCCGCATGATTGCCTGAACTTGGTTTGACTTTATACAATCCACTTATAGTTTCATTGACGGCTAATGCACCGCAGTGGCATCTGCGCTTATAGAATGCGTTTGCTTGAACAAGTCTCTTTCTTTCTTTTTTTGTTTTTTTTTTTCCTAATTTAAACCTTTGTTCCATTCTTGGGTGGGTTCTGATAGCTTTCGGCTTCTGTATATAGAACACGACGATCAATACACAGGTTGTCTTTTGCTTCACGCTACTAACTTCCGTTGCGAAATTTATGATCCATACCAGCTGTGCAGTTTTCACGTAGATCAGGACCTCCTTGGCACCAAGGCACTCGAATATGCATGATAGTGGATTCAGAGTGGTAAACGCGTAATTCTATCACTGATTGGGAGTTTCTATTATCTAAATCGAAGCCAGGTCTATAGTGAATCAATAGTGACAGGTAATTTTTCCCATCTGATGGAGCGCATTAGCAAGGTGTTTCAGTTCCCCTTTTCTCAGATTTCAAATTTTTTCGATTCTTGGCCCCTTTTTCCCATCACTAACTATCAATGCCTAAGTGGGTGGCTTAATTAAAGCACGTCCATCGTTGATCACTGCCTAAGTGTTTTAAGGCAGGAAGATCGCGGGCCCATCGCATCACAGTGAGACATCCCGTCTGCAAAAGTTCTGGACTATGTGGACTACGCAGCTCATTCTGGGCAAAATAGTTTTTCCACTGCTGACAGTTCTACTTCCCTCTTGCGACTCTGTCGGGATGTCAAAATATATCGAACTTAATTTAAAAATCCAAATAGTACTTGAACAATGTTTACGGAGGAAACGCTCTATATATATAAACACATGATAACCTCAGTAGACAAGATAGTAAGAGACCAACGTAGCCCTACGCCCATTATCCAGTCATCATTATATTTCCTCGTAGCATTTTAAAACCACTCTGTCCATATCAAGCTCAAATATGAAGTTCATGAACCTAAAGCTTTCTAGAATGTCACCAAACTACTAGTATATCCTGACAACTTCAACCACAACCACAACCATCCACGCACTCACAGTTCACAGCCATAGGCCACTAGAGATCCAATACCTGGACATACCTAAGCAGTACCTTTAAAGCAACATAGGAATCAAGTTTTCCTTGCTACGCCAGGTTTTTCGCCCACAGGGATCGAGAGGTCAATGAAACTCCAAATGACGTGCTCGATCTCGTCAGTGATTTTGTATGTACACGTATGCATTCCGAATTTCTTTCTTCCTCCGTGGAAACTTTTACAGCCATGCCTCTCATTTCCCTGGTAATTCACTTGCTTCTAGGGGATTGTGTCCATGGTTGTTCCCGCTGGTAGCCCGTGGCTGGGGTTTCGATGGCCACATGATAAGGTTATCGAGCTATCTAATCCTGATTGCCTGGAGGATGGGTTGGTGAAAGTGGCATTTATTCTCATGCTTTTAGCTGTCTAGCGAGTGGTTAATAAAATTTATAAAATTTCACATAGGCACTTGCCGTTATTCCCGCTATGTATAAATATTTTCGAGGATTTGCTCTCGCCTGACTGTTTTCTGAACCCACGTGTGTACTATACGTGATAGATATTGTATTTAATTCAGTTTAAACGTCGTCAATGTTGTATATAAACCAGGCTTATTGCAAAACAGGAATCTGATCTATCTGATGATGGAGTGATTGATTCTGGTTATATACAAGACTAAAGTAGGTAGAGTGTGTACTTCTAAGCAGAAGTGCTTCATTTTCAAGTTCATCAGCTTCGTGAGTAGCCCATCTTATGGGCACCGTAACCCTTCCTCGGGCCTGTTCATGCTCATGGTGTCAGAGGGAGGCTTTTGTACCAGTAAGTTGAGGTCTCCCGGGTACCACAATCCCCAGATCACCATGACAGCAAACATCAGCAAGGCATCAAAGACATACATTGGCCATTCATGGCTCAACAAGTACCCATCCTGACCCATGGCATATTCGATTACCCGAAATATAGACCGAACCATGATCAGCACACTGACTGCATAGAGTGTGTGCAAGTGGGATTTCCAGGGAATCGTCTGGTCGCATGCCTGGGCTGTTGGGTGCTGATGCATACGTCTTTGGAACATGATCGAAGTTATAATAAACAGCCCGAACATAATAATTTGAATCAGTAGACCGACGACCACGATGTTCTTCCCCATATTCGCGTTTGATCCTGTCGCCATCAGGCCTGCTGCACTACCTTGGACCACGAAGGACAGCACATCGCCCAGGACAAAGACTTTCGTCAACCAATTGACTCGGATCAGAGAGTGATGTTCGGCTCGGACACTGCGGATGATGCGGCCGAGGGTCATGTACACTGATGCGGCGAAGAGAACCGGACCAAGAAGGATGAATACGTTCTGGATGCAGTAAGGCATGATTTCTCCAGTCTTGCTGTAAGCAGCCACTCGTCCGCAGTATCCGATAACTTCGACTGCAATATTGTTAGGGTCGTCCAATGCGATCTAACTAAGGATAAAGCGGCGCTCACATATGCCTCCAATGGCGAAGGCGAGACAGAATCGAGCTCGCATTTTCCATAACTTCCAGAAGTGGTAGACGGTGGCGCCCAGAAAGAGCAGGAGGAAGATAACAGCTGCTGGGACTGATGGTAGATATGCCCAGAGGTAGTAGTCTCCTACATAAGGCTCAAGTTGCGCCATTGTTGTGAGAGACGTGTGGTATCTTTGGGGGAGTATTCTGGGACCACCCTTATGGTTCTGGGGTGACCCATTTTGAATTTATATGTCCGAACACTGGACAAGCAGACTTCCTTGCGCCAGAGGAGGGATACACCATACGTGTAAAGAAATTGGCACGAAGCCTCTATAGACTGCACTGTCTCCTAAAGGAAATTGACCGAATACGCGTATCGAATCCGGTAGTGGATCCGACATGAAAGTGGCCCGTGCATACGCGGATTCTTTATTCTAGGGCCCTTCGCCCACCTTCTAACCCTCTTCTCATACGCTAAGATGCTTTCTTTAGAGTCGAGCGGGGACCAAAATCTGCAGTGAACTATTAGCAGCGTATGCATACATGGGGGACATGATTCGATAGCGTGTAAGGAACAAGTCGGCGAACAGACCGCAGTCACCCACATGAATAATCAGTAGCTTCTTTCTGGGGATGTGGATCGACATCGATCATAATCATGCCGCGCAGAACGCATAAAAAGTCGCGCAATGGATGTCTGGAGTGCAAGCGACGCCATATAAAAGTAAGAGGACGATCCTTAGAAAGCGCTGACGTTAGCATCGCTTAACTGGGACAGTGTGACGAAAAGCGGCCGACCTGTACCAACTGCATCACTTCCGAACGCGTTTGCGAATACGCGGATATCTTTCAAAGTGCTACAAGATCTCGCACTAGTATTTCACCAGTCTCTTCTCACGCAGGGCCTGTGGCAAGAGACCAGCTGTCCGATGTTTCGAGTCCGAGGTCCGACTCACTTCTCCAAGATGCGCCAGTCAACATGCTTCACATGCAGCTTCTCCACCACTTGATGACAGAAACACGAAACACATTCCACGAAAGCTTCAATGCGGCAATCGCTTCTCCCGAAACTCTACAGATTTGCATGTCTTCTCCATATCTTATGAATGAGCTACTGGCCCTCAGTGCCCTACATTTGAGCACCTTGCGTCCAGCGGAGCAGCAGTTTTATCGTCACCACGCAGCACAACTCCAAACGCACGCATTAACAAACTTCAATGGGTTGGAGCTCGAACTGAACAAAGAGACATGCGTTCCGCTCTTTTTGTTTTCCGGTCTTCTTAACGTGCACCTCCTCTGCGACGTATTAATCAACAGAAACCCAGATTTTGATCACTTCCTGGACCAACTGGTGAGCAGTTTCCGACTACACCGTGGCATACGTGCAATCACCGCGAATTCATGGGGCATGCTTCGAGAGTCTTCATTGAAGCCACTAATTTTGGATGGTGAGAAACGATTTTCAAGGATTACGGGACTTGACCCCGAATGCGCCAAGCTCCTAGCCCTCATCAAGGCGGCCAAACTCGGCCCCTCTATCACCAATACCTATACGCAAGCGATAGAATCGTTGCAGCATGCGATAATTGCATGCTCGCATGGGAAGCAAGGCGGTAATATCGCAGAGATTACCGCCTGGCCGATATTGGTCTCTCCGGAATATATTGATCTTCTCGCGGTGCGATGCCCTGAGGCTCTTGTGGTGCTGGCGTATTATGCCACTTGCCTTCATGCACAGCGCGGCGTATGGGCTTTGGGGGACGGAGGGCGATTTTTGGTTGAATCCATCACCACGTACCTGGGATCAGACTGGGCTGAGTGGCTGGATTGGCCAGCGCGAGCTTTGGGCGATCGATCATTATCAGAGCTCGCAACGAGTTGAGAGTTAAAATCAAACACTTGAAGGCAACGTTATTGTTATTAGTCCAGCCATAGAAAGAGGTATAGAACAAGGATCCATGGCTCAACCGGAGAAGAGATCAGATCTGGGGCTAGCCGAATGTAGTATAGTGAAGACATCACCTCCTGCCCGTATTTCCCCTTTGAGCCTGTACTCTGTAAACCCGTGATGTTTAACTGCTTCAATGGTAGTGTTTATACGGCCAGGATGAGTTTTCAAAAATGTTGTATTGATGTGGAGGGGGAGATACAATGACCAACCCTCCAAGATAGTGATACTGAACAATATATGAGACGTGACAGGTTCGGTCGGAGAATATTACATTCTACGCCGTGTAGCAAAGGAACCCAATTGTTTCGGCTGGACATGAAAATACAACGCCGCCCAGTTTAATTCTTGCATTCTTTGTTCCCCCGTCCCTTGTCCTAACCCAGTCAATGCATAGATGTAATCCCAACTGAACCCCAATATGTAGTACAGGAAGCGGAAGATATGCAAGGTAGACAAGAGCAATAGGGAAGTAAGATTTCGTAAAAGCGAATCAAGGAAATTCAGAACAAACGTAAGACATTGGTCAATGCCATGAAACCGTACAAGAGCAAGGAGGAAAGAGATGACGGAGAAGGGAAACAGAAAGGCAACGTTTTTTTCAGTTCAATACAGCATCATGAAGGCAACCCTGCATAACAATTCGAGTCCAAAGGGGAAAAAAAAAGAAAAAACCAGCCAAGCTCCCACGGAGAGTAGAGATTACACACTTGAGAGCGACATAAAATAACAACCGGCGAAATATAGAAAGCTTTTGAGTCAGGGTGACCACCCCCTGAGCCAAATATGGATTCCGCCATTCGGGAAAAATGCAACGTCATCATCATTTAGTGACCGTAATTGCCTCCCCAGCCACCGCGGCCGGTGTTGCCATAATAATTAGCGAAGCCGGCGCCTCCGTAGTTACCGTAGCCAGTAGCCTGGTGGTGGGTTTGAGTGGCTGCACCCTGGTGTCCACCAAGTCCACCTAGACCCCCATACTGAGGGTTCAGGTGAGGATAGGTGCCAAATCCCTGTTGACCTTGCTGGCCTTGCAGAGGGGGAAGGCCAGTTTGTGCCTGAGGCTGACCTGGCACGCTGTTGGTTGCGGAGCCAGGTCGGTTAGCCTGAGCCAGGGAAGGGCTGGGTCCAGCGGCCTTCGGGGTGTCAAAGGTCTTGGCTTCCTCAGTGGTCACTGGGGGCTGCTGAGAGATAGGCTGATTCTGCCCAAAGCCACCCTGGGAGCGACCAAAGACGTCAGACATGCCCGATCCGAAGGTGTTCGAGCCGGCTGCAGACTGCTGGCTCTCCGATGGCTGGGCAGATCCAGTACGGCCATAGACGGTGTCACGGCCCGGCATGGCTTGCGCAAAGCTGCCGGTAGTTGCGGGTGACGAGGAGTGGTCGTAAGAGAAAGCGTGAGGCTGACCGTACATTCCAGCCTTACCATACGGGCCATACTGGCTTCCATAGCCATACTGGGCTGTGTGAGGCATATAGTGGTCGTCGTATCTGCGAGCATCATCATACATAGGGCGATTGCGGCCATATTGGTGCCCGCTCATCTGACTCATGTACGAAGCATAGTGAGGGTTGGAGAAATAGGGGTATCCATATCCGTAGGTATGAGCGCCCTGGCCGGGCATGTGCTGTGCAGTCGGGGTCTGAGTAGCACCGGGAAGGGTGGGGTTGGGAGTGTTGTGACCACTGTTGGGTGCGTCAACATGGCCGTAGCGGCTGGGAGGTTGAGTAGTAGGAATATGGGGCTGCACTTCCGCGCCCGAGACGCCAAATCCAGCGGCGGCTCTCTGGGCCACGGTAGCATCCTGGGACTGGCCATAGGTGCCATAGTAGTTGTAAGGGAGACGCTGGTCGACGGCGTAGAAGGGAGAATACTCGCTGCCAGTAGTTACGGTCGGCTGGACAGGAGCTTGGTTGGCGAATGGTTCTTGGATTTGAGGCTGAGGTTGGGTCACCTGCTGGCTGAAAGGGTCATAGGGCTTGTGAGCATCGGTGTAGCGGGCGAAGTCGTTGAAGGAAGAGTCAGCAGCAGAGGCTTGAGGAACGGGGGGGAGTCCAGGGGCTGGGCGAGAGACTGCGGGGCTCTCAGTCGATGCCTGGGCCTGGGCCTGAGTAGAAGGAGGCAAGGAGGCACGAGGAGCCACGGGGGAGTGTTGAGGGGGTTGGGCACGAGTTTCAGCATCTTCACGGTTCTCATCAATATCGACGTCAGCAGCATCGCCGTTCAATCCCATGCTGCCAAACTGCACGGCAGCCCTGTCGACAGCATGGTTTCCTGGCATGACAACTGCTTCTTGTTGTTCCATTACACGGCGCTGGGCACCAGCAGCACGAACACTCTGTTTAAGTGCGCTGGTGGGGTAGGCAGGTGCAGGTCGTGTGGGTGTTGCGGCAGCGGCAGCATTGTTAGCATCAAGGGCGCTGCCAATGGTGCTAGCTGCGGTGGCAGTGGGAGCCGGGGGAGAAACATCGGGGATCTGCGCAAGATTCGTCTTGGTCAAATCATCCTTGGGAGCTGCAACTTCAGGAGCCGCAGCAGGGACAGCAGGTTTTTCGAGGGGCTGAGGAATAGCAGGTTCAGGTGCCTTCTCCATGGGAACCGGAACTGGAGGCGGAATCGGGACGGGTGCAGGTTCAGGCGCCTTCTGCTCTTTCTGCTCCTGCTGTTCCGTCTGCTCGGGCACTGGTTCGGCAGCAGGCTTCTCGGGAACAGGAGCGGCAGCGGGGGCGGGCGCAGGGGCGGGCGCAGCAGCGGGAGCGGGAGCTGGGGCTGGTACCGGAGCGGGAGCAGCAGGTTTCTGCTGGGGAGGAGGCGCCGGTTTTGCAAACAGACTTGCCCAACCCTTCTTGGTACCCTCGGGGATCCCAGTGCCCTTCGATGCATCCTTGGGGGTCTCCTTCGACGCGTCGGCTGGTTCTGGAGCTGCTGGCTCAGCATCGACCGGCTTCTCAGTCTTGGTGACCTCGGGGGTAGCTGTCTCTACTGTGGTAGGAGCAGCTGGCTTCTCTGGGCGGCTGCCATTGGTGTGGGCACCAGCACGACCGCCGCGACCGCCACGACCACGATCTCCACGAGCACGTCCACCACGGCTCTCAAATCCACCACGTCCACGGCCTCCTCGAATAGGAGCATTAGTCGACTCGATCGGGGTGCTCTGCGCCTCCTTTGGCTTGGGGCGGCTCCGGTCTGTGGTCTTCTTCTTTACCTCTCCCCACTGAGAGACGTTACCTATATCACGACAAAAACCAATGTTAGTCCAGCTATGTGACAAGAAATCACAAATTGGATCGAGATCGACGGCGAACCTTCAGTTATGCGATCAATTGCCTCCTCGAGGTCGCCGTCTGCATCCTCCAACGCAAAGACGAGATCCTCGTCCGTCCAGTCAGGGAACAATTCCTTTAGCATGGGTAGAGTGTTTGCATATTTCTTCTTCATCTGACCAATTTCTCCTTCGTCTTCGAATGTAGCGGGTGTGCTATCTGAGTTGTCTGCCTTTGCAGATCTGCTGCCACCTCGACCACCTCTGGAGCTATAGCCACCGCGACCGCCGCGAGCGGATACCCTGCCACGAGAGGCAGACGACCTCGTTTGAGCTTCAGACATATCTTCTGATGGGGGGGAATCTAGTAAATCTCCGGACTGGAGAGTAGAGAGTAGAAGGAGAATCGAGGAAGACCCAACGGGGGTTTGGACGAAGGGGGTGTAGAAAACAAGGTGCGGCTAGTGGGAAGAAAAAGCGGGTAAAAAGAGGTAATGATCACAGATGCAGCCTCACGGAAGAGGTCAGCAACCAGAACCACAGAGCACACACAAGGACCGCCCGAACTTCGATGCGGCGGTTCAAGAGGGAGCGAGAGTCCAGGGAGGGGAGGAGGGGAAAGAATTGAATAAAAAGAAAAAAAAAACCAACAAAAAGGAAAAAAAGAAGTCCAAAGGGAGCTAAAAGAGGATGAGCATAAATTATATGGAATAGGGAACCAAATGGAGAGGGAAGAAGGAATGGGAAGAGTTTTGAGTGAGACTTAAAAAGAGGAATAGGTAAAGTACGAGTTTAGGTACAGTTCAGTCCGACCGACGTGTTGGAACCCACTGCAGGGAGGGAGAGAGACCCTCCAGGCAACTTTGTCGCCCATTTAGCGAGCGGCGCTAATCGTCCACCCGTTTCGTTGGTTGGACGATCCGACCGGCGTCCGTGACTGGCACTGGAGCGTTTGGCCTTAGCGTGATGCCTTTTAAAGGGACAACGCTTGCTTCCTGAACCCTTCTCAGTCCGGCATTTCGTCATCCATTTTGGGTTTTTCCTTCGTTGCGTTGGATGATTCACGAGATCCAATCGATTATACATTTTCCTCCTCAAATTCATTGGTACGAAGATTACCGACTCGTACCGTGTGTATACGTATCTATACAGGTCGTCTGCCTACCTACCCCTACAGTGCCCCAATCGGAGAGTCTATTGATTGAGGATCTCGTTCCCATTCCTCGCATTCCTCACCGCCCCCCTGCTGGCACCACCTGAGGTATCTACCATCTACCAAGGGAGAACGAGAGGGCACGATTTATTATCGATAGTATATGACACTACTGGTCCATCATTGTTTCCCCCCCTTCCTTCCTTCCTCTTGTCGTCATGAAAGGCACGTCGAGTCTGAGCTTAAAAGCATGGTCGAAAATCCACCCCCCGCTACCCCGTACCCCCCGGGAATCTCAACAACTCCTCAAAGCCCTTACGTCTTCCTTCCGTCGTCAACTCGATCGGGAATACCCCCCCTCGGCCCCCTCAGATCGAGATGGATCTTGTGATCGTACACCGGAGAATCCGCACTCGTCTGTGCACGCGACTGATCGACATCTCCGGGCCATCCTGGATAATCCACTTTTTCGGGTAGTGCCCTCCAAGTCAACTACGGCTCGTAAGGGAAGTGGAACAGCAAGCAGACTACAACAGAGAATAGCGAAAGAACCAATGCTGGTCTTCGATGAATTGGTCGCCTCAGGTTCGGTAACGCTGCCAACACTACGTGACTGTCTGAGTTCTCAGATGCTACTGGCCAGCCGTCATATCGGAAGCGGCCTCATACAGGCCATGAAAGACGCTAGGGCTGGATCCAAGGTTGTCAGTTGGTGGTTTGCATCTGATTCTGCGACGAGACAGATGTTATTTAAATCCCGAGCAGCGACCACAACTCTTGTAAAGTTCTTAGTGGCAGAAGGTCGACAGGGTGTGGTGTTGGACTGGCTGAGGATGCTGGCGAACCATGACATTGGAGGCCGGAACGGTCAGCTGCCAGAGAAAATTGCACAACAGGTGTTTGGCCATCTGCTGGTCAACTTAGTCACTGCAGAAATCCAGTACGGCCGAGGGTTGAGCTTGGCTATGCGGTATTACCTACAGACATGCAAGTCGCAGATGTTCAAAGACAATGCGGCCTTAAACCTTTCCTGGCAGCCTGTGTTACTTCCAGCAGGTGTTCACTTATGTGAGAGCTTGATGCAGAGTTTACCGTCCAGATCCAAAGAGCTTGACGGAGCTATGTACAATGAGTATATTGAAATTCTTTCCAGACTCGCACCAAACTCGTGGGTGCTAGCTACAGCTCCGTTGTATCATCCTACACGCCCTGATGCCAAACCATTCCTCGATTTTGTGGATACACTACCTCCTAGCCGAGTGGACTCTTCAGCAGGACTGAAACGAGAAAGCTTTATGCGTGCCGGATTTGACGCTCTTCGTCTCTTGGTAGACCAAGACAAGCGACAGGATGTGTTATATTTGGCACGGTTCTTGCAACAGCAGTTGCCCGAAAAAGTGGATTCAGAAAATGCATCCAAATCAGACAACCGCGCTTACACAGAGAGGGAAGATTTACTATCACAGCTTGACTTGGCATTGGCTTGATTTGCGTAACCATTGCTATTGACGCCGAAGCAGCATATTATGTAAAGCAACGATCTACTGGCCCCGAGATTAGGGTGGTACCTTTTCTTATGTGCCTTTCAATATGGGTTCAAGATCTCTACGGAGCTTGCATGCAACCTAGGTAGTAGGCAAATGATTCGTCAATCTGGATCTGCAGGTGACAATCGGGTTTACCATTGTGGTGGACGGCTTACCCGAAACACGCTATGAGGAGAACTCCGCATACTGCTCCACCCAGCCACGCTAATGGGGTCTCCTTCTCCTCTTCTTGGCACGCTTACATATCATGACCAGCAACACAATCAGTGCAGGGAAGGCTTATGTGCGCCTTGAGCTGATCCTCGGGGGTAATCTAGTATGCTATTTTCTAATTGGTGTTTTGCTGACGGAACAGTCCAAGATTGAGTTCCGTGTGGAACAGGTTAGCGTGCTGGGATTAAATGATCTTAGTAAATATCACCGCGCAACCTCACCTCTCAACCTTCTGTGGCCTTCTATCCTCCCTCCCATCGTTCTACGAGTGGTTCTCGCCCTAGTAGACCACAACTTGGCGATTTTGAAGGTCGCTTGTAACTTGCGATCACATTTCAATTAGATTTGGTTCACCTAAACATCGCTGGGAGTATCTTTCACTCGCAATTGTCCGCACCATCTCTCATCATGGCTCCTGAGCTAGATAGCAGCGTCAACCCACCACCAGCCCCAGGTACGTCCATACAGCGGTACATATGTCTCACATTATCATGGCATCATCACTAATGCCCATACCACCTTGCTACAACTAAATACATTGGGTCGAAGCTGATTCATGAAGTAGAAGCTAGTAATACATCTGGAGCTGGCACGGACACGAAGGCGACCAATGCTGCCACCAAGCAAACCAACGATGATATCACTCCGACAAAGCCTGTGGACGCTGTTGATCAGTCCGAGGAGAAGGAGTCTCCGGAAGCGACTGAATCCTCTAAGGAACACAAGCCTGCTGAGGAAGCCAAGTCTGGTGGGCATGCTTCTATCTTGCCAGATGGTGGACCAAAAGAGTCAACTACGGAGAATGGCATCGCGCAACCTAGTGCAGGCGATAAACGAGAGCATGAACCGACCTCTACGCCCACCAACGCAGCGAAGTCTAATGTCGAGAACTTGACAGAACCTGCAAACAAAAAGCAGAGGACTACTGGAACGCGGACTCGGAATGGCAATACTACAGCCCCTGCTACGAATGGGGAAAGGTCAAAGGCAAGCCGTTCTAAAAAGGCGAAGGATGATGTGAAGAAGGTAATTCCTCCGGATGGTGTTGGTAGTCGAACACGCAGCCGGACTAAGGCATCCTCCTAAGCTCCGGCGGTAACGCTGCGAACATATGCATCTTGCAAAGATCACGTATGTTCTTCATTCTATATCACTTTTGATCTAGTTGTCTAGCAGGTCCTATGTATGCGCAAAGCTCCATGTTCGCTAGCTAAGTTCCATTTCTCCGGATTTTGTAAAGCTCTAGCTTGTGAATGAACCCTTTTCTTTTCTTTTCTCTCTTTCTTTCTTTCTTTTTTTTTTTTTTTTTTTTGTTTTTTTTTTTTGTTTTTTGTATCTTTCTATTTCCTGGAACTTTTTTTAACTCAATCTTCTTTATTGCTGAGACAACGGTATAGCGTGTGATGATGGGCTGCAAATTTAAAAGGGAATGAACGGTGGTGATAAAGCCTGGTACCCCATAGGTAGAAACCGGCAGTATCATTAACCTACAAAGTACCGACATCGGCCAAGACTCTCCCGTCTGTTGAGTCACCGCTCCGGAGCGGGAGAACATCCGATGTGTCCCTCCCCCACTAATCACTAGGTGGGAAAGTCTGTGTCATACCCATGAGATAAACTGCCTATCGTCTTTATAAGTATTCTTTGGGGAATTGTGAAATTCTTCCTTTCACTCTTTGCGACACATCAATCGGGGAACTGTCAATTGACCTTCACACACAATGCCTTCCAACAAGATTTGGCTTCGTGCTGAAACCAAGCCCGCCGAGGCTCGGTCTGCTTGTAAGTAGCGTTGTACTATCTGATCATGCTATTGCCAGCGAACTGTATCATGCTGATGCTGATGCCTCAAAGTGACCCCGACTACTGCCAAGGCTCTTATGGATGCTGGCTATGAAGTGACCGTAGAACGCTCTACACAGCGAATCTTCGATGGTAGGTTGTCAATCAGGGCTTCACTCACCCGGATATGAAGGCTGACTAGGTTTGTCCTAATAATAGATGAGGAATTCGCAAAGGTACATATACACGTTCGCCCTGCTCCCTACATGTCTAAAGACTTATAAATGTCCTATGGAATAGATTGGTGCCCCACTAGTTGAGGAGGGATCCTGGGTCAAGGATGCTCCAGAAGATGCATACGTTTTGGGTCTCAAGGAACTGCCCGAAGATGACTTTCCTCTTAAGCACGTCCATATCACCTTTGCCCACTGCTACAAGCAACAAGGGGGCTGGGAGAAGGTTCTCAGCCGGTGGCCTCGTGGAGGCGGAACCCTCTTGGATTTGGAGTTCCTCACAGATGAAAAGGGGCGGAGAGTTGCTGGTGAGAGCTCATTGTCCATATGGTTTGTCTAATTACTAACTTTCCAATTTATAGCTTTCGGATGGTCCGCTGGCTATGCTGGTATGTGTTTTGCTGCTTTTGACCGCCGATGATCGATATTGATGTAGTATAGGGTCCGCATTAGCTGTTAAGAACTGGGCTTGGCAATTGACTCATCCTGAGGGCGAGCCTTTGCCCGGTGAGGTTCCGTACGCAAACCAGGATCTTCTGACCAAGTCCGTGAAAGAGTCGCTGGAAGCTGGAAAGAAGCAATCCGGCCGGTCCCCCAGGATTCTTGTTATCGGTGCTGTGAGTGTGCTTTTTGTATCAAACCTAATGGCAAGCTAACTGATAATGTGCAGCTTGGACGTTGTGGCAACGGCGCTGTACAACTGGCCAAGGATGTTGGTATCCCCGAATCTGATATCATCCAGTGGGATATCGAGGAGACGAAGAAAGGTTTGTTTATACTTCTACTTCTGGCAAGCTTGAGGTTAACGCATCGAAACAGGCGGTCCTTTCCAGGAGATTGTCGATGCAGATATCTTCGTCAACTGCATCTATCTTTCTAGCGAATCTATTCCCCATTTCGTCAACCATAAATCTCTCTCCACCCCTAACCGTCGTTTGTCTGTCATTTGCGACGTGAGCGCTGACACGTGAGTACCGCTTCTGAGTATTACACTCCCCAACTGTGCAACCGACTGACTTCACCCTCGATGCAGCACTAACCCCAACAACCCTATTCCCGTGTACGATATCACCACCACTTTCGACAAGCCCACAGTGCCTGTCACCCTGCCGGCGGGAACGCAAGGGCCCCCTCTTAGCGTGATCAGTATTGACCATCTTCCCTCGCTTCTCCCTCGTGAAAGCTCCGAGATGTTCAGTCAAGCACTGCTTCCTAGTCTGTTGAAGTTGAAGGATCGGCAGGAGGCTCGCGTCTGGACGCAGGCGGAAGATCTGTTCAAGCAGAAGGTTGCCACTTTGCCTTAAGATAATTTCGAACAAAAGTAATTTGGCGGGGAAGTCTGCAGATGGTCTATAGCGATGCTGTGAATCAATTCATGAAAAAAGATCTATACCATGTTGTTAATTTTCCTGGAGGAAACTATGAATAGATAGCATATGCCAGAACAAGTCTTCTCAACAAACTGTGCAAAACCCAATATAAATTCACTGCATGAGAGCTGCATCATGGCCAAAAAGATTTGCCTACTCCGTACACCTTTCTACTCTTATCACTTTCTACGGTCGAAGAGCAGCCAATTAATGGAGAAACATCGGGAGAAAGCTGAAAATTGGCAATAGCTTAGCTAGACCGTGGCTCATCCCGCGCAAAATATCTGCTAGCAATACTGCTAATAATTGGGTCAAAGGAATTCATGTTGATCATGAACACATAGTGCGCTGATCCCCTTTAGCGTCGTCATTTCTAACTTCAGGGGCGATTTTCTTTATTGCTCCTAGGGTAAAGTGAAATAGTCGTACTACAGTGGTTTCCCAAAATGAGATGCATTTATTACGAAACTCCCCTCACCATGAGAGCGGAACGATACGGGAGAAAAGACAGGGTAAACTCCCAGTGCTACTAGTAGTGTGGGGCGGACGGATCGTCCGAAAGTTACATACAGAGTACAGTACTGTCGGGACGGGCATTCGGCGTTGAAGAACTTCCGGCCACTAGAAAGGGTCCCTCGGGCAAATCAAACAAACATTTGTTCCAGTGTGATCTTTCTCATAATGACCCTCAATTATTGTCGTGATGACAATGCAGATGAGACCCATCAAATGGTCATTGATACTACCTGAACCCGAAGATCTTGTTTAGATTGCATCATTCCTGTGAGTTTTTTAGGCCCAATGATTGGCCACTCGCGGTCCTTCTTGCCTTTATTTACCCCATTCTTCTCCACATCCTCGGGTTTATGGGGAAAAAGGCAAAACTGAAGAGACAGAGAGAGCTGACACTATTTATCTCTCCCGGTATAGCCGATGGGAACGAAAATCGACCTCCACATCAGCTCAATTCACACATGGAGAGGCGTATCTAGTCAAACTTAACCCCGTTACCCATCTCCCTCTACACACGCTCGATTGAAGCAGGAGATTACAGGGATTCAGTCATTCCCTTATCCGCCAGGTTCCTGAAATATTAGAGGACCCCCGCGCCTAGGCATTCATAGCACGACCGTCCATGGAGCAACGATAAGCGAATCTTGGTTCTTTTAAGAGACGTGCGACCTGCGATAGCCATCAATTTCCGCTCCTTTTCTCCTATATATAGTTGATGCAAGAAAAATCAACCACCGTCGCCGCATATGCGGCCGGCGCCTCCCTCGCCGCTGTCGCCCTTTTTTACGTCTTCGGACCCAACTACACAATCGATGGGGATGAGTCGAGTGATAGCAACCGTAAAAAGAGCATTGTCGGTTTATCCAATCCTGCCAATGACTGCTTCATCAACTCAGTCTTGCAGGCGCTTGCTGGCCTGGGCGACCTGCGTGTTTATCTGATTAGAGAGCTCCATCGGCGTGAACTGGATGGCCCGGAGGTCTATAACTCTCTTCCGGATGTAAAGGATCTCGCCGGCGGTGAGAAGCCGGAGAAGATCCGGGAGCTGCAGCAGGGCACAATCACCCGGGCTCTGAAAGAGATGTTAGACCGGTTGAATGAGCGCCCGATTTACAAGAAGACAATTTCGGCGCGACCATTCATCCAGGCTCTCGAATACGCATACCGGACCCGGATTAGTCGTAACCAACAGGATGCACAGGAGTTCCTGCAAATCGTTGCCGAACGGCTTTGTGATGAATACCATGCCGGTGTCAAAACTCGACAAAGACTGCAGGGACCCATTGACGTACCCACAGGCTCGGAAATCCCACAAAGAACCGAAAGTGTCACATCTGCCAAGAGCCCAGCTGAGGTCGAGGTTCGCATTGACGATGGATCTGAGAACGGCCTGCCGGCAATCATCGATACCAAACTCAAGGAGATCGACAACGAGTATGGTTTTCCGTTTGAGGGAAAGCTCGAGTCTCAAATTGAATGTCAATTCTGCCATTATAAGTATAAACCTAACCAGACATCATTTGTGAACTTGACATTACAAGTGCCGCAGAAGAGTTCCACCACGCTCAGTGCGTGTTTCGATGGCCTCCTCAAGACCGAACACATCGACGATTTTAGGTGTGACAGATGCTGTCTGCAGCATGCACTTGAAGTGAAAATGCAAGAACTGAAGCAAACACGCGGAGTCAAAGAGCAGCAGCTCCTCCAGGCCGAAATCCACAAAATACAAGATGCTTTGTCAACAGACCCAGAGGGCCCGCTCGAAGGTGTTACTCTTCCGCCCGCAGATGCTGCTCCCAAGCGAAAGATCGCACGCCATATGCGTATTACGGTCTTCCCGAAGATCATTGCGATCCATCTCTCACGGTCTATATTCGACCGCAGCAGTTCTACCAAGAACGCGGCAAAGGTAGCATTCCCTGAACGACTTCCGCTGGGAGGTATCCTGAATCAGAAATGGTTCAAACTGCTAGCGATTGTCTGTCACAAAGGCAGTCACAACAGTGGCCATTACGAATCATTCCGACGAAACCATCTTTATCCGCCTTTCTCGACTCCGGATGTCTTCCGTTCGTATGCACAGAGCCGAGTTACAAGTGAGAACCCATCGCAAGTACCAAGTCCTCGCATGGTACCTCGCTCCTTGGATGCAGAGCCTCCAGCTCTTAGCATCTCGACATCAACCTCGTCGCCATCTTCTTCGTCTCTTTCTCCGGCCCCGTCACGATCCCCATCTAGGAAGAAGTCTGCATCTCAGTTGAATCCCCCGACATCCCCGGCTCCCCGGCCAAGCACGTCATCGAGCTCCCGTGTTTCCTTCCAAAGTAGCCGCACCAAATCCAAGCAGAACCTGTCTCCGACGTCGGATCCTCAGAGTCCTGTCACTGACAGTGGACGCTGGAGCAAGTCCAACTCGCGCCCATCATTCATGAGCGATCGCATAACCCCAGGTACTTCCGCTGAGACTTCGTCCGGTCCCACTTCTCGTCTTCGTCGTCGTCGTAAGGCAAATGATCGATGGTGGCGCATCTCGGATGAGAAGGTCAAGGAATGTAAGACATCAGATGTTCTGGGTATGCAGAAAGAGGTCTACCTCCTATTCTACGAGATGGAGAAGCCACCCAATGGCCCACAGGTTTCATAATCGCCTGACGAGAAGCTAAAGGCTGGTCCTGGGCATCAGATGGCAGCTCCTTTGCATGGTGTACGTGGAAAGGTGTATACACATCTTTCGCAGTTGAGGCCCCGCGCACCACTTATATTCTTTTCTATATAGCACTCAGACAAAACTGCGCTTTGCTTGCTGGATCTGAGCCCAGCCAGGGTAGTCTGAGCTGATCACTGAGCGTATATATATATTCGGTGTTGGGAAATGTAACTTAGATATATACACCTCGATAGATGCGGCACTTTTCATCTAACTTGGGTCTCGTTGGGTAGCCCTGTGTCGCTCGGCCCGTGTTGCTTTTGACTCCTAGAGCGCTGTTATCGCTACATTAGCTTTTGTCTGCATCAAAAATTCAATAATGTGAATGTTCATACTTCAATTGACCATGTGGATGGTAATTGTTTTGGAGTAGACCCACGTTCTTCATGCTTCTACCTCCTGTCCAGTTCAAGCTGACACGCTTTCATCGTCGCTTATTCTAGATTTTAGGCCGTCTTCTCTTGCAACTCTCAAACTGACCAATTGTCTTACATGTGGGTTAGGTTCTTCTTGGATAGGAAAGAAAGGAAGAACAGAAAAGACGGTTCAGTATATGCTTATTGACCTTCTTCAGTACATGTTGAAAGCTATGCCTCTTAATCTTCGTTATGTTTTACCATGACCATCCTGCGCTATGATGTCATGCTTTCTAGTATTCAAGAAGGCTATTGATACTCAAGGATTCTTGAAAGTAAGTGTGGAATACAACCACACTTGTCAAGAAAACTAGCTCCTCACATATATGCACTGGCAAGCAAGACAGGTGTTCATGATCCGCCGTATGTAACCTTGGAGGGAGGTAACCGATCACCTGCGCTGTCGGCATTGTTCGAGTGGTCTGTGCATTGCATCTCTGACAGTCATACAGACCGTATATCTTTTAATCTCTTATTCTTTTTGGGTACTGTATTTGTTGATTGAGATCACGATCACTATCACGAAGAAAAGAAAAAGAAAAAAAAAAATGTCGCTACGGTAAGAGCCTCACAAGACTACTATATTGCAATTCTTGACAAGTAACACTCGCTCAAACGAAAATTCCACCACCATGTGTCGATATGATTCCTCCTGTCAATCCACGATCCTTCATACAATATATATAAGCTTCCGCCACATTCTCTGGAGTTGGAATCTCTTTGATGGGTAGCTTGTCCTTTAGATGGGCGAACATCGTCTCCTTCTCCGGAATGGTGTCCCACAACTCAGTATCTATCGGACCAGGACTGACGAGGTTAACCCTGACCGGCGCAATATCCAAACAGAGGTTCTTTGCGAGCCCATATGGGCCGGTTGAGTACATGGTATGCATTGCCATCCCCTGCCCCATGGGCCTTTCGGCTGTTGCTCCACTGGTGAGTGTGATGGAGCAAGCGGGTGAGTTGCTTGCCATATACTTTGGAGCATGCTTGGCGATGAGGAACGGTGCGATAATGCGGACATTGGCAGTGTTTCGGACTCGATCCAAGTCGGCTCGAGGTTGCATCCAATCTTCAGAATCAAACTTAAAACTTCCGGCTGTGAAGATGATATGGTCAAATGGCTGGACCTTCTCAAACATAGACACCAATTGATCCTCGACGTCTGGCACCCCGAGGTCAAGCGCTAAGCCACGGACTCTGTTCTTTGCCTCCGGATAGAATGACAGAAGGCGTGATTGGGCAGCGTTCACCTTGTTTGGGTCAGAGGAGAGGACGGTAACGTTGGCGCCATGTTCGATACTTGCTTCAGCCACACAGAAGCCGACGCCGGAAGTCCCTCCGAAGATGACGATGTGTTTGCCATGTAACTTGTTCACGTATTTGTTTCTTGCAGCCATTGCTGGTCAGGGGCAGAGTGAGGGAAGTCAATGTATAGCGCAGATGAACTTCAGTAGTACAAGGTAACGCAGCTTAACCTGGACTGCGAGGATGCTCTTATATCTACTTCTGTGCCGGAGTACTCGGCTTGGCAAAATCGAATCACAGCGGTATTGAACTATGAAGCACGAGTCTTGATTTCTAATCAGTGGGGGTTTTCAACTTGAGTTGATCCACAAAGAAGTTAACCATCCACATGTATTCTTATCCTACGTTAGAGATCATCTAATTAACGATCTTGTGCACCATCAAAGAGACCCAAACCCTATCCACCCTTCGCCGTCACCTGCCTATTTCGTATTTCCCGCTTATGTAAGTAGGGCAAGTTCATTGGCTTTCGAGGCTGCGAAGATCTCAAGGTTAGTCTCTGAAAGTGCATAAGGGCCATGTGGTGGATGAGTCTAGGACAAGGTGCTTATCAGTTCTGGAATTTACGCATGGCCTTTTTCAGCACAATTTACAAAATCAACCCAACTCAGGCTCATGCATACAGATTGTTTTCCCTCTGGAAGTGGCCATCTGGTACCGTATAGTCCATGTGAAGGGCAACGGGCAAGAGCCAGGTCGTACCTCCTCCGAGTCGGCTGGGATATCTCATTCGGAACAACACGCCCTCATCATGGACGACCGAGGTTACGTGCATAACTAATCCAAAGTTTGAAAGACTAGCATCTCAGTACATTTCCATACCCCTAACCTTGCCATCGATGGCGATAGCACTATTTGTACTATGAAATAATTGTCGTAGAAGCATGGATAAGAAGGCCGTAGCGATGATATGCCCTTTGAGAGCGGCAAGCCCAGGCAGGATGTGATATCTAATACAGCGGCGGACTTGTCCCGTGCTTTCGTGCTTCGACTCTTGGAACTGCGACCTCTATGCAGTACTAGGAAGAGGAACCAGTCAAGATGCCCTATTCGGAGTATAGAATTCCGCATCAATACCTCCCTTTTGTAAGGGTGAAATTCCAGTCCGGGACCGCAAAGTTGATCGTATTCGTTCCGCCCGAAACCTTGCGGCAAGGATTGCAATGACAGATGGCCTTACGAAAATTAGAGAAGGGCAAGCCTGGAAAGAGGGAAATAGTATAGGCACATACTCACCTTACGACTAGCTCGCCGGTATAGGAGTGGGCGCATACGCCACGCAAACAGTTTCCGGTACTAATAGAGGTCATTGTAGTTAGGCAACTTTTCTAGATCGATTTGATGGCTCTGGGTGTTGATAATGAGGTGAACGTAATACAGAAACCATCTTTTATGTCTTTGGAGCTCTGTGAATAGCCGTTATGGAGAGAGGGATCTGCACTCCAGTGAATTCTGTACATTACATTTAATTAACAAACTATAGAAATAGGTTCCATGTACCAATCTGGTTAGCTTTCCGAGAGCTTCTTCGGCAGCCCCACAGTTACCAGCTACCTTCATCTATTTATACCTCTTCAGGCTAGCTTTCCAAGTTAGTCCTCATCTTTGCTTCTATAACTCAACCATGGGGAGGCTGTGCTTTCGTTTTCCTGCTCTACCTTAGGTTGTTTGGAAATCTATGATTGATTGAAGGACCAAGAAACCCATCTATGACACCTTCTCCTTCGGAGACAGCAGTCTCCCAGCACTAACACTATAGATCCGTGCCTCGCCATTTTCCTCAGCTCAGAAAACAATATCAACTAGTTCCAAAAGAAGGATTCGTTGAGTACCACGCAGTTCCACTCTGAACCCAAGGAAGGGTAGCTTTCAGTAGGGCGGATTATTTCCGTCTTTCCATCACTCATCAGTGAACAAGTCTCCCATCAAATATTCAAGACCCGTATCCGCCGCTACAGGGACGACTGTTTTCCCGGAACCTAGCTTCCTCGCTAATTCAATCGCAACCACAACATTGAGACCAGTTGACGTCCCAGCCAGCAGTCCTTCTCTAGCCAGACGGCAGCACATACTCCGTCCCTCATCTTCTGAAATCGCAAGCGCCTCATCCTAGAGCTGCCGATCGAGAAGAGGCGGGATAATCCCGATCCCAAATCCCCTCAACATGATGAGTCCCAGAACGACCTTGGGTAATCGTAGGCGAAGATGCCGGCTCCAAAACCGAAATATGGGTCTCCGGCCGCTTCGCCTTCAGAACTCGCGCAACCTCCATGACCAACCCTGTCGTTCCAACAGCACCACAAAACGCATCATTCTCAGGAAACTGCTGGACCACTTCTTGACCAATAGTCTCGTAGCCGACGAAAGCGTCCCGGTTTTGGAACTGGTTGGTGAAATAATACCCATCTGATGTAGAAATCTCTGCGCGACGTATCATGGAAGAGGGTAAACGCGGGAGTGGTGGAATAGTAGCTCATCTTATATCTCCAGAAATGATCCACCAGCATTGAGTTTGCGGGGAACGTGACGAGTCAAGAAGTGGATCCCTTAAAGGTCAATATAACTTTCATTGCCAGGTATCAGAAGGCACAAATCTCGCTAAAAATGTTGCAATCGCCGCTAATAGCCAGTACATTAGTCGGATAGGTTCAGGGAAGAGTGTTGGGGAAAGGGTAAGGAAACCCACGTACTTGCTTCGTATCCTTAACATAAATATCAGTTAGAAGGCCAGTAAATCTTTGGAAACATTTTTGGTACAGAATTAGATCGGGTTAGAACTCTATGCCCTTTGGTTATAGGTTGGTTAACGCCTCCAGCAGTTTTGTCCGTTGCATCCTATATACAAAATACTATTCTAAACAGGTATCTACTAAAAGACGAAGTTCGAATTTGATACCAAGAGAGAGAGAGAGAGAGAGAGAAAGGAAGTTTAATAGCCAATTTTTGGTACACATGCCTACACAGTCCATGTTGTTTAAAATCAGTCGTTCTGAAGTTCCGCCAACCATATACTAGTATCTGACTATTACTGCTCTGCATGACGGCTCCGGTTATTGACCATGACAATCCACTCTGCATGCCAGTATGTCAATTTATATCTTTAATAAACATTCACTAATCTTTCAGAATACTCATATTAATGGTCGTCGTCGTCGGGCTATTTGACTGTTTTAGCCACTTATCAAGACAGTACGATCTCTTTTGACGGCAACGGCAAGACACGTAGAGCACTCTTTCAAGTAGGGCAGATAAGATACATAATTAATCAAGGAAAAATGCCTTTTTATTTATGTCATTATTTTTCATATAGTGCAGTTCTGATGAACAGACGCGTTGGCCTGCTATACGAGCCAGTTAAACTAAAGAATTACTGTACGATCACAATCAAGAGGGTCAAATATGGCGGCCCAGATCTGCTGTGTAAGTTTGTATTGAGAAAGCTGTAGACACGGCAGAGTCGTATAAGACAAAGCGAGCTTTTTCGTCATCTCAAGTCATCAGTTACAGGTCTAGACCGAGAGCTACATGTGCAATGAAGGGACGACTAGCCTAGGGCTAATCCAACCCATTCAAGATTTGGGACACCGGCAGATAGTAGTGTGTATGTTTTAGTCAGGATTTAACGCTACTTCCTACATCAATTAAGGACTGCGGAGTGGGTTTGTATCCCATCAGTTCATTACGCAGATCTTCGGCCATGTTATGCAACCCATGGCCCCATTCTGATCGCTTTACACTCCTAGCAGCTTGCATTGGTGACAAGTTAGTCATAAAATCTCTAGTCATTACAGAGCATGAAGTTTACGTTATGAACAGCATGAAGTATATGCATTTTGACGAGCATTGAGACTAGTAGCAACACGCAAGTAAATCGTTCCTCCATGACAGGCGGAACGAGATGTAGGGCTCTTTTCCACCAATAAACCGGCGAAGGTGGTTGTTTATCAGGGGACCATCCCGAGGATCGATGCATACGTGGTACTATTTTGAGATCCGGGATAGAACAACACCGGCTGCGTGAAGCTTCCCCACCTTTTTACATATTTAGTACTATGGCTATTTTCTTTTTTAGTGTCAGCTGAGCAGGGACAAAGGGCCTAGGCATAGAAAGACACAAAGGACAGAAAGATGCCGAAAGACTTAGAAAGGGAAGAACGGGTACGGGGATGAGATCTCCGCCGATTTCCCCGATGTTTGGCTATAGCACGAAAGAAATACGGAGAGGAAATGGGTCAATCTTTTAGCAGGAGAGGCGAACCCCAGATTCGCACAACAACAACATCACAATTCGATTTTGGTATGTTGCGTTTACGAACCGGTCAATGAGGGTATCCAGAAAGGGGTTGAAGGTGGATCTCATACAGGAGAATTATTTCGTTACGCAGCATAATGAATGGGCATGTCATAGGTCTTTCGGGTCCATGGAAGTAGAAAATGTCATGATGTCATGTGATGGCGGGGATTCTCGGGAAGTGCCTTGGGTCCTTAACGGGCCTGAGGCCAGCAAGCAGCGTCATCGTTGAACCCCACCAAACAAGTCCAAGTCGTCACGGGAAGAAAAGGGAAGAAGGACACGAACGGAATTCCATCCATTACCCTCGGGCAACTTCGAAAAAAGAGGAACACTTGGGAATGACTAACTAAATACTACTTCTGCCTTGTTTCTCGGCGGCTTCTTCTCTCCTCTTTTTTTCCCTTTTTTCTTATATATCATCATAACCCCCTCCCGCTTCTTCTCCTTTCCCCCTCCAATTTTCATCATCACGCCAGCAACCGGTCAGTGAAATCATACTGATACCATCCGTTCCCCACTACCCGGTGAGTTCTTTCGAGTGCTGTTGCCCCTCCATTAGTGGCTCAGCTGCCCCTCCTCATCCCTCCCTTTTGCCAATGACACTTTTATTAAATCCCCTGCTCCGTATTCGTCGTTCGGTAAAGATCCTTAGTTCGGAAGCTCCTACAGAACTTATTTCTAGCTGTTCACTTCCTCCATTCCTTCCTTCTCCTCCTCTTCTTCTTTCAAACTAATCCAATTCCTAGTCGAGCAAGACCAGCCATTTGATCTAATCTTCCAACTATCACAATGGGTGTCCTTGAGAAGCTTTCCCGCAAGTCTGGTGTCATCGTCGGTGATGACGTCCTCCGTCTCTTCGAGCACGCTCAGGAGAACAAATATGCTATTCCCGCCGTCGTAAGTCGTCTCGGTGGAACCATCGATGTGAATTATCTAGTTGACCACTCCACCCGTGTCTAGAACGTAACCTCCTCTTCCACCGTCGTTGCTTCCCTCGAGGCAGCTCGCGACCAGAACTGCCCCATCGTCCTCCAGCTTTCTCAGGGTGGTGCTGCCTACTTCGCTGGCAAGGTAAGTCGAAATCGATCCTTACACGTACCTAGATCAATAGCTCGGAGCAACCCGCTAATGTTCCTTATCTTAGGGTGTCAGCAACGACGGCCAGAAAGCCTCCATTGCCGGTGGTATCGCTGCTGCCCACTACATCCGTAGCCTTGCTCCCGCCTACGGTATCCCCGTTGTCCTTCACACCGACCACTGCGCCAAGAAGCTCCTCCCTTGGCTCGATGGCCTCCTCGACGAGGATGAGCGCTACTTCAAGCTCCACGGCGAGCCCCTCTTCTCCAGCCACATGATCGATCTGTCTGAGGAGCCCGTCGACTACAACATCACGACCACCGCCGCCTATCTTAAGCGCGCTGCCCCTATGAAGCAGTGGCTCGAGATGGTGAGTGATGCCTCTGCCCCTGCAAATGAAATGGCTAGAGTCTAACGAATCTTAGGAAATCGGTATCACTGGTGGTGAGGAGGATGGTGTTAACAACGAGGACGTTGACAACAACTCCCTGTACACCCAACCTGAGGACATCCTCGCCATTCACCAAGCTCTCGCCCCCATCAGCCCTTACTTCTCTATTGCCGCTGGTTTCGGTAATGTCCACGGTGTCTACAAGCCCGGCAACGTTAAGCTCCACCCCGAACTTCTCAAGAAGCACCAGGCTTACGTCCAGAAGGAGATCAGCTCCAAGAAGGACAAGCCTGTCTTCTTCGTCTTCCACGGTGGCTCTGGTTCCTCCAAGGAGGAGTACAAGGAGGCCATCAGCTATGGTGTCGTCAAGGTCAACGTTGACACTGACATGCAGTTCGCCTACATGTCCGGTATCCGTGATTACATGCTGAAGAAGAAGGACTACCTCATGACCCCTGTCGGCAACCCCGAGGGTGAGGACAAGCCCAACAAGAAGTCCTTCGACCCCCGCGTGTGGGTGCGTGAGGGTGAGAAGACCATGAGCCAGCGTGTCAAGGTCGCCCTGGAGGACTTCAACACTGCCGGTCAGCTGTAAATGTCTCTTGATACGATGTCTCTGCCGATACGAAGAAATCAGATACCAGTACATAAATTGATCAATCCAAGAACGGAAACGAACCAAAGAAACATGTTTTGACTGTAAAAGTGGAGGCCGCTTTTGGTGACTGAAAATATTGCATGACTGGGGAAGCTGGAGTTGAATGATTGGTCAATTACGATGTATGTAGAAGTAGCATGAGGATGAATCCACTAATTAATTGATGAATTCCAATCTATACGCGCTATCCTTTTCTCATGGTTTTTGCTGTCACTAGTCCTTGTGACGTTGATTCGTAACGGCCGCGAGGCTGGAGGTAGTAAGAAGCCCCACTGCAGCTTGGTGGCGAAAGCCATAGTGGCGGTTTTGCCGTCCTCAGCCTTACGAAGCACCAAACTCGATGCGTCAAATAGTGCTGTGTAGGTAAGTTATCGAGGCCATGAACGGAGTTTCGAACACGAATTCCTAGGATCTCGTTGGAAAGGTGTTTGATTGTGTTCTATTAAAAAAGAATATATCTAGTATGCATGGTATGACGTAGGTACGGAGTGGTCTATCAGTTTACACACCTGTGCGCACCCCACAGTTTCATACCTTACATATGAACGTTCATTTAACTATTCTTCGCGTGGAAGGACTGTTGCTGTCATACTATTAGGCAATGAGGGCCACTGCCACTGATTTGGTGCCTCAGGCCTTCCTCGTCGTCTCCATGTTGGAAGTAATCAGTATCCAAATCTCAAGCGACCCCCTTTCCCTGCCTTTTCTGTTACTCTAGGGACATATGACACACGCAATTTCCTTTCCGAACAGTATCCAATTTATCCGAGCGTCGACTAGTATTGGGGACTAAAGTCTATTGGAGTCCGGCGAAATGGGTTACTATTGGCAATAGTACTATTTGAATAAATTAGCCACAGTTCCGACCCACAGGAACGCCGCTTTGAATTCTTGGATGACAATGGATTCCCCCTTTATTATCCTCCAGAGGTGAGGCGGTTTTACATTCATTCGACATACTACGTGGTGGCTTGGCGCGAAAACCTCACGCGGTGTATAAAATGCATTCTTCTATCC